ACGTTTTAAACTAACTGGTAGAAGAATTTTAATTGCAATAGGCGTAACTAAATGTGTCCATAGTATCATTATACGATATGATAATTCTGATTCAAGAATTATGAATATATGTATGGTATTTTACATTAATACATGCATAAATACATTGAATTTTGTGTGTGCGAGACATTCATAGCAAATGCTGTTGTCTTTGTTGACTTTATTTAGAACTTTTAGGTGGAAAAGTTGAGCTCTGTTTTTCCCGAAGCCTCGTTTGCTAACAATAGGTTAGTTGTTTTAAAAATATTTCATTCAAATTCTAGGCTAAAATATCTTCTTGTGTTTCCTTTAAGGCAATAGTGGTCTTAACTAGCCTTATTATTTTATAATTTTTCTTCTCGACAGTGAAATAGCTGTTCTTACATGCAATTTCGTGTAAAAATCGTCAAGCCTGGTTCTTCATTTTATATGTGACAAAATTTTTACACACGCGAGATAAGAGGATTAGATCGGCCTTATCCCTATCCGTCTTGCCAGCTTCTGCGCCTCGTACGCACAGAGAAATGAGTGAGTCTTTGTCCTAATTGCGATGTGATTCTTACTCTTATGTGGATAATCCTAGGGCCATACTTTCAAAACTGGCTAAGTGAACGTAAGTACTTACGCACTATTTTCTTGTCTGTGATTGGTGGATTTTGCTCGAAAGGCCGTCAATGATTGGCTGATGAACTTACGATCTCTTAACTTTTTTTGAAAGTATAGGACCCTGGCCCAGTTTGATCCAATAAAAGGGCGCATCAGTGCTACGTTTGCTCTCTGTTTATGTTGTGGGTAACAAAGTGTGTCAATATTTGAACAGTATGACCTGTTCATTGTTCTGCATATGCTTTTCTTTCTCGAGGCAACATTGCCTGCGCATCATGTCGTGAGCTGCAACATTATAATGTTTACTGAGGAATATTTTATTCGAGCTTACATTCCTAAATTCTTCAAAAGTCAATTATTCATTAATGATTATCAAATCTGAGAAATTCAAAGTTGAGCACGACTATAAAGTAACGAACTGTAATGCAGCAAAAAATCGCACCTCAATGAAGCGAATGAATGATGTAGGACATAATAAATAATAGCATATAACGATTAACGCATTAACAGCTCAAATGCTTTCTCTCATCACAATAATTCTTGCTCTATGGTAAATCTGTGCCTAGGTTAATTCTCACTCTAGGGTAATTCTTGTTCCAGGGTAATTTCCGTTCCGTGGTAATTATTGCTAAATGGTAATTCTCTCTCCATGGTAATTATTTTTTCATGTTAATTCTTTCTCCGTGGTAATTCTCGCTCTAGGGTGATTCTCGTTCATGGTAATTCTCGCTCCTTGGTAATTCTCACTCATGGGAAATTTTCTACCTATTGTAATTCTCGCTTTAAGGTCTATGGTTATTCTCGCACCATGGTAATTCTCTTTCTAGTGCTTTTTTCTGTCTATTATATTTCTTTCACTAGAGCAATTCTCACTGTAGGGTAATTCCCTCCATGCCTGTGACGCAGTCAACGCGTGTACGTCGCGGCTGCCAAGATCGCAGCTGAAATAAAATCTCGGAGAATTTTTTTTCTTAGGCTGAATTTTTTTCTTAGGCCTCGCCCATTTTTTGTGCGACGTTCCTGGGCTCTCGCTATTCACCAAAACCGCGACAAGCTCGCGCAAAAATTCATGCTTCTCATGCCAATATTCACGGGCAACGCTGCTTTGGAACGTGATTGCGGTTTGCAATTGAAACCTGGCCAGGGTACGAATTTTCGGACCGCATAAAGAGACTGAAAGAAACGCTTGAATTCATATTTTTCCCAGTGGTAGGATATAGAAGACAAGATTAATCGAATTTTCAAACGTTTACAATGCCCGATTCTTTACTTCGTTCGTTGATTATTTTTATTTATACATTTTGAACAAATGTTAGGAAATTGAACTTGAAATCATATGACAGTTATATTTTGGTTATGGCTCTCCAGGCAAATGACGTTGTATCAACGTTGATTACGTGTTGATTTCGCTGAAACAACGTGATTTTAACGTCACAAACCGGGCAAGGCTTGGATATTTGAAAATGTCGAACGCGCGGAAAGCATGAAGCGCTCAACAGATTCACATCCATGCAGGCTTCCTTATAGGAACTCATCCACGCTGTTGAAAAAAATATAACTCAGTACTCACTGCAGTGAGTGACAGAGAGCGCATTTTCTCGTCGACGAAAACGTGAAGTCACGGACGGACAGACAGACGAACATGGCGAGCACAATCGGGCATTTTTTCCATAACTGAGAAAAAGCGCTAAAAACGGAGATAAAATGCATGGAACGTCGCTTCAGTGGCCGTCAACGACGTGAAATAAAACCACATCGTATTTTTTGTAACTTTACATTTTTTGAAACTTCAACCCCATTTTCAACCCAATCATGGCCGAATTTTGCGAAAAGGCACCCCACTAAAAACACCAGTTCGACCATTTTTACACCGTTTCTTAACTGCGCGGGGAATCTCCTGCTAATTCCCCCGCATCAATTTCATAATTGCCATATAACAAATAAAGCTTCTATTTGATGCCGCTAATATTGAGGTGATACTCCACTTAACAAGAGATCAATAGCTGTCACGTCTCCATTACTGGAGATACGTTGTTGTCGTCTCAATGGCAAGGTAATTGACGTTGATTTCGTTGGAACAACGCTTAATTAACGTTATTTCAACCTCAAATGCCTGATGAGAAAAGTTGGTGTAAATAAGATAGGGCCACGCCCGACAAAGTCATGTAGAAATGAAATGTGTTAATTTTGTACATTATTTTCCATGTACTTTCAAACTGATTTTAAAATCAAATTAATGCATGTAGAAACGGTCACTGCACCAAGTTTTGTGGAATTGAGAATTAAAAAATGCTGGATGTGTTATTATAAAGTAAATGTTAGGCAGGGGGAGTTGTTTGTGATAAGAAGGCTAACCCTGCGTAGCCTTCTTAGTTCCACGTTTTATTCGGTAATATCCCGATTACTTCAACGTTACCTTGATTACCTCGGCAGTATTACGATTACCGCCGCACGGTCCCGATTACCTCGCCCATATCCCAATACCTCGGCAATATCTTGATGCTGCATGAGTGGCAGATGGCGTGCTGATATATTATTATATTATTATACATATTTGAATCGTAGGTGACTAGACCTGGCGAAGAGCGATATCATATAGCGCTCATATTGTAACACTTAAAGTCTTAAAGTCATCCTAAACTGAAAGCTCATTCAAATCATTGTATAAGTGAAAGCTCCTTACAACATATGTTTCCAAATTTGAATCAAATAGGAATAAATGACTTAAATTACATTTAAGTAGTTAATGTAATTAACTACTTATGTTACATTAAGTAGTTAATGGGATACGGATTTGGTGATTTCTGGTTTATTTTTATGCTCAGAATCCTACGTTAACTTATAATCAATTATTTAAACTAGGCTGCATTGGAATATTATATTGTGACGGTTTGAAACATGGGCAGAGATGGCTAACAAACAAGGATTCAAACCAACGCTCAAATTAAAGCACTTAGAACTATAATATTACCTTCTATTGCTGCTGAAAAGGGACAATAACAGCCTCGTTGTTATGTGTTATTGCCTGCGGATGTGACACCAAATTTACATGGAATTGCTTCAATTTACACGTAAATTGCTACCGGAAATCGGATCGCAACGCGCTCGTGAAGTGCAATTCCGGCCCGGAAGAGGATGCAATTTTTTGCCTACAATCTTTACTTGCAATCTTTGCCTACAATATTTTCCTGTCCTTCCTTATATATACGACATCTTTACCTCCGTCGCATGGAGCTGCCAAGTATGCAGCTAGTTTTGATTGTTTTTATTTACCGGTGTCATTTGAATTCTTTTCAGCTCAATGCAAATTAAAGGTTAATTATACATCAAATATACGGTACTGAATTTCTCATACTCAAAACAGTCAAAATATTAGTAATAAATAACATTAAACCTATTTATTTAATGTTCTTGGTTCAGAACGACTCTACCTAAATTGCAGTCTGTGGCAGTATGCCAGTCTGTGGCAGTATGCCAGTCTGTGGCAGTATGCCAGTCTGTGGCAGTATGCCAGTCTGTGGCAGTATGCCAGTCTGAGGCAGTATGCCAGTCTGTGGCAGTATGCCAGTCTGTTGCTGGCAAACATAGTTGTCAACCCTTCAGGCATATTACATTGAATCAACGTTGAATACAAGTTGATTTCGTTGAAACAACAAAGTTAAATCAATGTTATTTCAATGTCAGATGCCTGGTGGAAAAGTACAGGCCAAAAATCTATTGAATTTATTCGTTGCCAAATGGCAAGCTTTGCGGTCGCGGTCTCGCGAGCTTCATTTGAATGTTTCGGCTGCCGCTACGGAACTTCCCGCAAAAAATGAGCTCACGACAAGAAACTTTTCCGGAACTTCCTCTACTATCTATCCAATCTATCGCGCTCTGCTGCAGCGATAGTACAATGTTCTGCATTTAATGACACAGTAGCGCGCGATGAAAATAATATAAAAAATTACATGCGTATATTGGGGAAAATGTGTATGTTTAAACTACATACTATATAGGCCCTGAAGTAGATATGATTGCGTGGAATGAAAAATTTTGAAATACAACGAAAGTTTTATAGCTAAATCTATGCAGTTCCCTTTAAGTAGAAATAGTGTTGAAAATTCAGAATAAAGTTAGAGCTTTATATATCATAAATATAATATATGATATAATGTATAACATTAAATACGATTCATGGATATTTGCTGCATAAACTTTCATGCAATCAACCTTTTCTCAATGACGGTAAATCGAAACAGGTTTACTTAATAAATCGATAGGTAAACATGCAGCATATCATAATTCTGTGATTGTATAATGAAAAGCCGTTAATTACACAATGATAATTTAACACAATAAAACCTTAGCAATAATCTCTTGTATTTCATGGCCAGATGGAGGCCCTGGTGAGAGAGATGCAGGACCCCGACACCGGCATCCCCATACGCAGCCAGAAGCTCTTCCTTACCTCCATCCCCTCAGCCTTCATGGGTGAGTATCTCCCCCACCTTCATCCCCTCAGCCTTCATGGGTGAGTATCTCCCTCACCTCCATCCCCTCAGCCTTCATGGGTGAGTATCTCCCCCACCTTCATCCCCTCAGCCTTCATGGGTGAGTATCTCCCCCACCTTCATCCCCTCAGCCTTTGTGTACAGGTAATGGTATGTTTTGTGTACAGGTAATGGTGTGTTGTGTGTACAGGTAATGGTATATGTTTTGTGTACAGGTAATGGTATATGTTTCGTGTACATGTAATGGTATGTTTCGTACTTTGTTCATCAAAGATTAAAATTTCCATCTCATTTTTTTCGAGGTCATGAAAATTTATCAATATTTGACATTTTCTGATTATATTTGTATTATTATTTTACTTATTACCGTGTGTGAATTAATTTTGTAATTTTCATTTTTCTTATTATTGTTTTTGAATTACATAAGTAATAAATGTAGCATAATTAGTTATTTGTTAAGCAATGTTTCCATAAGTAATAAATGAAGCATAAGTAGTTATTTATTAGGTAATGTTTCCATAAGTAATAAATGAAGCATAAGTAGTTATTTATTAAGTAATTTTCCCATAATTAACAAATGAAGCATAAGTAGTTATTTATTAAGAAATGTTTTCATAAGTAATAAATGAAGCATAAGTAGTTATTTAATAAGTAATGTTTCCATAAGTAATGAATGAAGCATAAGTAGTTATTTATTGAGTAATGTTTCCACAAGTAATAAATGAGGCATAAGTAGTTATTTATTAAGTAATGTTCCCACAAGTAATAAATGAAGCATAAGTAGTTATTTATTAAGTAATGTTTCCACAAGTAATAAATGTAGCATAAGTAGTTATTTATTAAGTAATGTTTCCACAAGTAATCTTATACACATCTAGATGTGTATAAGAGACAGCACCTCCATCCCCTCAGCCTTCATGGGTGAGTATCTCCCTCACCTCCATCCCCTCAGCCTTCATGGGTGAGTATCTCCCTCACCTCCATCCCCTCAGCCTTCATGGGTGAGTGCATACAATTTTTCAACCAAAGACTTGAATCAATTATTGCCTTTGGGACCTGGAAATGTACATATGGAAACATCAATGTTAATTAATTATCTTTACATTTTCTTTCACATAATCAACAGGGAAACATGTAATTTATTTAGTACTATGAGACGCGCATCTTCAAGTGTTTACATCTTTAATTTCGTAATAAATAATGACCTTCTACTTAACCATCTTAATTTGTTACTCGAGCTAATCATTACAAACTTTTATCATCAGGGTATACTGCACACACTGTATATATCCCGAGACATTTGTTCCAAGTTTACAAAGAAATGCAACGCACATCATCTGTGTTAATTTTTTATGCGCGCACAATTTCGCAGACTGTTGAGCAATATTTATTTGCAATTGCATCCACATTCTAAAACGCAAAACCTTACATTTTCTACTGCTTTTTTTTCTGTTTAAGTTTTTCAATGTTATCTGCAACATTGACCACGTGAAGATTCTTTTTCGAAATTTGTTCATTATTTCTGCAATAAAATGTCTAATAATTTGTTTTGTTATTGAAGTAACGCATTATATTATCAGTTGAACTTTATATTCTTTAATTGAACCTATTTATTAGTTGGTTTAATAGTATAATAAATACTATATAATTATAATAAAATTGCTGATGAAGTACAAGTTCCCTTAGTAAATTGAATGTTTAGAGATAAGTTATGCTTCGTGATATTATGCCACTCACCACAACATTACCACTCATGACTCACCACTCAGAACTCACCATTCATCTCCCATCACTCACCATCCATCATTCAACACCCATCACTCATCACCCACCACTCACCGCCCATTACTCGCCACTCATGACACTCTACTCATGACTCACCCTCACCACTCGTGACTCACCACCCATCACCCACCACTCATGACTCACCACTTATGACTCACCACTCATGACTCACCACTCACCCCTCACCACTCCCCACTCACCACTCACCCCCCACCACTCACTACTCCCCCTCCCTCAGGTTACGATCTGGTGGAGTGGCTCATGGAGCGCCTCGACCTCGAGGACTCAGGTGAATATCCTGCACAAATGCGTCCTTGAAGTTACATCTGACGAATGTTTCTCAGAGAATTTGTTTAGCTAATTTGTTGAGAGCAGCGCAAACTGTTGAATTTCACCAATAATGCGCAAATTATGTTGATTTCCTTTGTGTTGACTAATAATTGAGAGGATCTTTGATCAAAGTTTCTTGTTATTTTCTGTACTTTTTAGTTGAGTATTAGCCAGTATATACATATATATACAAATTTATCGTGCTTAGTAGAGTGTGGTATGTTTTGTGTACAGGTAATGGTGTGTTTTGTGTGCAGGTAATGGTATGTTTTGTGTACAGGTAATGGTATGTTTTGTGTACAGGTAATGGTATATGTTTCGTGTACAGGTAATGGTATGTTTTGTGTACAGGTAATGGTATGTTTTGTGTACAGGTATAGGTTCCAGGTGAGCTCCCCCTACTCCTCCCCTACTCCTCCCCCTACTCCCTCTACAGGTTCCAGGTGAGCTCCCCCTACTCCTCCCTCTACAGGCTTCCCCTTACTCCTGGACCGCTACGTGTACTTTGGCTGCTACGTGTACTTAAACTCCTTTTGATAGTCCCATCACATTTCAGAAGACTCTCTTTCCCTCGTCTCCTGTTCATCCTCTTTTCCGTGTGTGTCCTGCGCATATATCTCCTGCAATCATGTGTCACGCGTATACAGGGTCCGCCATTTTTATGGCAACGCATGTTCTTTGTTATTTCTCAATGAAACAAACAGGTAAATTGTTTTTTTATTGGATGAGCTAGTAGCCAAGAATTACCTACACAATTCTCAGACATATTTATTCAATATGACCACCCTTATTTTTAATGACGGCCTTCAATCTACGCGGGAAAGCTTCACAGGAGACACGCAGCATTTCTATAGGAATCAAGTCCCATTCTCGTGTCAATTTAGACTTCAAACTATCCAAAGAATCATGAGGTGTTCTGCAGACCCTACTATCTGAAATAGCCCACACAGAAAAGTCAAGAGGATTCAAATCAGGGCTTCTTGAGGGCCATTCACTTTTGCTAATGAACGCTGGGATGTGACCCTGAATCCAGTTTTGGGTCATGTTTGAGCCATGTGATGGGGCAGAGCCTTGTTGAAAACTCCATGGTGAGCCTTTAAAGTGTTTACGGGCCCAAGGTAACAACTCAGCTTCCAAAATGTCCGAAATGTTTCGCTGACTGTTCAATTTCACTCCTGAGGGGACAAATACTAGTGCGGACCTCCCGGTGGCGGTTACCGCGGCCCAAACCATCACGGCCCAAACCATTTTGACGTCGTGTTGCTGTTCTGGTTGCCACAGATCCATTCCGACTCCAAACTCTGTCATTTTGACGGTTAACGCTTTGTTCAATGTCAAATTTTTTCTCGTCACTGAACACCAAGTTGGGCAGCGTGTCATCCTCAATGAGATCCAGAATGTGCTGGCATCTTTCGAGCCTCATTTGTTCATGACGGTCTGTTAGTTCATGCCTTATTTGCATCTTGTAAGGGGAAGTTTTGAGGTCATCTTTGAGGACTCTACGCATTGATGTCTGACTGACTCCTGCTTCTGCAGCCAATTTTGCAGCTGAGCGACGAGGGTTTCTCCTCAACTTCTCCCTTGTGTTTTTGACCAATTGTTTTGTTCGGACACTTCGTTTCCTTCCTTGACCAGGTCGATTGCGTGTTTCACCAGTTTCCTTGAATTTTTTACCACCTTCCACACATTTTCACAACGAATTTGGAGCTTTTTGCAATGACTGAAATATTCTCGCCCCTTTTAATGAAGGGTTACAATTGCATTTCTATCTACTGCCATAAGTAATAGAAAATTTAGACACCTTAGACTTCTGCAATATAAAATAGATGAATAATTTAATAGATGATATTAAGCTCCATTACAAAAGCAAAGTCTCCTAGAAGACAAATTATTTTATATAGCAAACATCCGTTGCCATAAATATGGCAGACACTGTATATCTCCTCCAATCATGTGTCCCGCGTATATATCTCCTCCAAGCCATGTGTCCCGCCTATATATCTCCTCCAAACCATGTGCCCCGCGTATATATCTCCTCCAATCATGTGTCCCGCGTATATATCTCCTCCAAACCCGCGTATATATCTCCTCCAAGCCATGTGTCCCTCATATATATCTCCTCCAAACCATGTGTCCCGCGTATATATCTCCTCCAAACAATGTGTCCCGCGTATATATCTCCTCCAAACAATGTGTCCCGCGTATATATCTCCTCCAAACCTCCACGTGTCCCTTTTCTTACCAATTTTTTCGTCTAGATTTCTTGCGCTTGCTTTCACCGTCGCCCAGAAGTTTGGTCTCCACATCTAACTTTTTATCTTTTGTTTCCTCCTCTTCCCTTTTATCATTCTCTATATCTTCCCCTCCGCTCTCTTATCTTTCCGTATCAACTTTTCTTTTTCTTTGTCTCGTTTTTTTATATTTTCCATGAATTTTATCCCCTCTCCCCCTTGCCCTCGCGTGACGCCCTCACTCCATGGCTTGGCAAGCTTCCAATGCAGCCTTGCTTACTTATTCCCACCGCGACATTCCTCGTCATTCCTCCTAAAACATTTCCCCTGATTCCGCCTAGGACGACATTCCCCCTGATTCCTCTATGGAATTCATGCCTCCTCATTCTTCCTATGACAAAATTCTCCCTGATTCCTCCTAGTATGGCGTTCCTCCTTAGCCCTCCTAGAACGACATACCTCCAGATCCCTCTTAGGCCGGCATTCCTCCTAGGCCGGCATTCCTCCTAGGCCGGCATTCCTCCTAGGCCGGCATTCCTCCTAGGCCGGCATTCCTCCTATCGGTATTCCTCTTAGGACGGCATTCCTCCTAGGCCGGCATTCCTCTTAGGCCGGCATTCCTCCTAGGCCGGCATTCCTCCTAGGCCGGCATTCCTCCTAGGCCGGCATTCCTCCTAGGCCGGCATTCCTCCTAGGCCGGCATTCCTCCTAGGACGGCATTCCTCCTAGGCCGGCATTCCTCCTAGGACGGCATTCCTCCTAGGACTGCATTCCTCCTAGGACTGTATTCCTCTTAGGACGGCATTCCTCCTAGGCCGGCATTCCTCCTGCATACGTCGCAGTCTTATTCATGCCACCGACGCCCGTGCCAATGATAGACGTTTAAATTGATAATTGAAACTTTAAACGATCACCTACATTGATTATTTATCGATCAGTCGATATTTATCTGATCGATATTTTATATCGATCAGTCTCGCCGGCAAAATCTTTTGAAATCTTGAATTGAAAAATTAAAGAAAGTGCCAAGTAATTTCAATTAAATTGTAGTAAATTTCCTCGACTAATCAATTGCCTTTAAAATTAGTGATTAATTTGCGATTTAAGCAAACTATTACCATAGATACTTCGCAAATCTTGGTTAGATCGAACACTCAGAGAAATGAGTGGAACTTTATTGAAATATCGATGCTCTTTTTGCCCTTTTGTGGGTCATCCTGGCCCACTTGGGTCCTGCAAAAAAGTGCATTAATGTTACGTGCATAAATAAGTGTTTGAAAATTTGTACCATATGACCCGTCTCCATTAAAATCAACTAAAGGCAGACACGAAAGTTTCTTCAGTAATGTTTATTGTTTAGCAAAATTTGATCTTGCAATAAAATTATTTGTGTGGCTGATAATATTTTACTAAATGTACTCATTTTACGTGTTGATCTCCAACACAATTAATTTATGTACAAATATTTAAAAAATAAAATTAATGGGGATGATTTCAAGAACGCTATTAAGTTTAGCTTTATTGATAAAAAGGTTTATCAATACAAGTAAAGCCACTTACACGGCATTGCAATTACAAATAACTGTGCTTCAATTAACAAAAAAGGAAGTAGACAAGAAAAAAATTGTAATTTTCCTTTGTCTTCTGATATGAAGTTAGTCGTCAAGACGTAATATATTGATGCTCACAGAACAACAATTAAAACGCTGAACTCACGCGACACGAAAAGAATATACACTCAAGAAATGAATGAATCACATTGTCCAAATAGTGACTCACTTTCTCCCCCACAGTGCGAGTAAAAAGTGGACGGAGACTGATACGCCCTTTGTCCGGGTCAAATTTGGCCAGAATGACCAATGACAAAAATTATATGGCTAATTGGACAAATTGTCGCTCAATTCTCTGAGTGTGTGCAAAGCTAGATAAAATTTACAATTGATCATGCAACATCGATTACAAGCTGGATAGTAATTAATTAATCACTAAATCTAATATTTAATATTAATTAATCGAAAAAGATGGCGAAATTAAGGCTGAAAGTCAGCCATGAACTTATTAAAAGATCACTTTGATCAATTTCTCAATGAAAGACAATGATTCTTGCGTTCAAAAATGTCCGATTCTAGAAATGCTGGGCACGCAAAAATACACACATTAGCATGTAAATGTGTAATACGTTAAAACAACACAAATGCAGAGGAATAAAGTACGTACACTGGTTTGCGGAAACTGTCACACTTTAATTAGGAGAGGCCGTTCTGTGAGACAATCGTAAATCAATTAAATTAAATTAATTAAGACAGCGCACACGTCACCTCGCACTAAAACAAATCTTCCATGGAAATCCTGTGGCACGAGTCGTACGAATCCTGCATCACAAATCCTATATCGCGAATTCTATACTACAATAACTACGGATCACGAATCATACAAATCTTGCATCACAAATCCTAACATCACTAATTAGATATTATAATTCCTACGAAGCCTATATCACAAAGCCTTCGAATCCTATGTCGCTCAGACGGATTTGCTAGACCTTCATTATGACAAATAATCACATTTTTTTACATTTTTCACATTGGGAAACTGACGTAAGATTCAATATAAAGAAATATTCTCGAACAATTTTCAATTATTCACTGAAGATAATTGAATTCGTTGTCGGATTGTTAAAATCATGTGAAATGAAGATATTACCTATTCATAAAATACAGTGGAAGTTAATTTGGAGACGAACTCGAGACGAAGTATAAATACCACGAAATTAGGTCGCAACTGAGCCTATAGTACTCCTAGTATAATAAATTCAAGGAAATAATAAGCCGAACTTGCGACTGGTTACCGCCCCGTCCGGTGTCCGCCACCCGCCACGTCAAGTTGTTAATTTCCTCCAAATTAGTGCAATTAGTTTAATTAATTCGCGAGGACTAATTAATGTATCCAAGAGGATTAATTAAAGCATGCAATGACGTAATCAGAAATAGAAGAAAGCAGTGCTGTACAGCAAGGCCTTGAGGCATCGAATGACATATTGTAACAAGTGCATAATGCTGAGTTTTGCTGATATATCGTACAGCCAGCCAAGCAGCATAAATAATGATGAAAAAATCTGTTAAAAGACATACTATATTAATGGCATTGCGTTGACTCCGAGATCAAATAATAAAACAAAATATAAAATAAGAACAAAAAAAATACATAGAAATATTTTTCATATGTTCAACCTTTACCTTAATTATACAAGTTCCGAGTGCACGGAATTTGTTCGCAGTTTCATCTTTCTAGTGATAATTTACAAGCAAAGCTCATCCGAATATTACGTCACAGCAAGGCCGATAAAATAAAAATCATGCGATTGTATAAAAATGTGATTACCGTGCACTTGTATAAAAATGAGGTAATTATGTTTTTGTACAAACAATGTGGTAACGATGCGATTGTTTAAACAATCTAGAAATTATGTTACTGTATAAATATTGTGGTAACGTTGCCATGTTATTATAATTATGGTAAGACTAAAACGGTATAAACATCGTGCTAAAGATGCATTTAATATCAGAATATTATATCGGTGCTGATACGACGAATTCCTGGCTGTGCCGCCGCTGCGCTTCAGAATTAGCGTCCTGCCGGCACAACGATGATGAAAACATGCGATGATCTATAACCCGCGATAATCTATAACCCGCGATGATCTATAACCCGCGATGATCTATAACCCGCGATGATAAATAACATGCGATGATAAATGTCTAATTTATGTGTTGCAGACTCCATACTACTGGCCGTCACAGAACCACACAGCAGACACTACAGACTACGCCATTTATCTCACCAAGCGCCTCTTCCGCAACAAACAAAAGCACGGGCTGGAGGAGTACGAGCTCGAGACCTACGCCAAACTCAAGAAGGGACTGCAGCATAAGTGGGACTTTGTGACCATGCAGGCTGAGGAACAGGTGTGTGGTGACGTGGTGGTGACGTGGTGGTGACGTGGTGGTGACGTGCAGGCCGAGGAACAGGTGTGTGGTGACGTGGTGGTGACGTGGTGGTGACGTGGTGGTGACGTGGTGGTGACGTGGTGGTGACGGGGTGGTGACGTGGTGGTTCGAGGAACAGGTGTGTGGTGACGTGGTGGTGACGTGCAGGCCGAGGAACAGGTGCGTGGTGACGTGGTGGTGACGACGAGTAAAATAAGTGATGGTAAATGTAGAGGCAAATGATTTTCTCTTCATTATTGTTAATATATCGATAATGAAAGCATGTTCACCATGAATGCCAGTCTGTCATCAAAATGTTTTCCCTGAATCCTAAAATGTCGTCACTGTTTTTATGGTCTGTTGCGACAGACAATAAAATTGTTGAGGCAGACCATAAATTTATTTACAGCTTTGCTTCAGTCAAGGGAAATTCCGTTTTTTCAATAAAATAAATTATTTCATTTTATAATCGGAGAGATACTTTCGCAGGCGAATTTTTTATCACTACGTGGAACACTAAGTATTTTTTTCGCCACAAGAAGTTATTTAGAAAATATTGTTTATATTTTAAGTAACTAGCTTGTGCTTGATGCGCAAACAAAGTGTGAATTTTAATGCTTGCTAAATTACAACAAATATTGTATGTCAAAACAACACTTTCTATGATTTAAAGTTGAGTAGACGAAACAAGTAAATATTGTTGATGATATTAATACCCATGATAATTAATTAATTATAATAAATTAATTTAAACAAATTGAGTAATAATAATTAAGATGGTGAAACATTTCATCTCCTAAGCACTCTATTTTCACTCAGCCTTCTTAATGACCGTATTGATGAAACATTACAAGCTGTTTATTTTTTTAGAATCTTCCGTTATTCGAAATACCTGAACTGCAAATAATTCTGCCCATAACCACTAATGAATTCTCTATTCATTAAATATTTATAAATAATACATATATTTAAATAATAGCTACTAGATGCTGAGGGCACATTTCTTGTTCATTTCTTGTTGAATTACTGAAGGATAATTTTTACAAAGAATATTTAGGTTAAGATTGATCTAAAAGTAATATTGTATGACTTAATTGCATTTATTGATTTATTTAAATTGTTTGGTTGTGATTTATATTTATTACAAATTCTCCAAGAAATACACTTAGTGGGACGTGAAACACTTATAGTGGGATGAAATTCTTATGAAATTTACGCACACGTAGCGAGATATATTAAGACTATTATTAAGCTAATAATATAATATTACAACACAACGAAATTACTCCGTAAAGCAAGAGCTGATATATAAAATTGTAAAATGGCTGTATAAAGTCTTTTATTAATTATTTACTATCACGATGCCACGATATAACTCATTAAAGCTGAAGTTCAATTAGGGAATTAGGGAAGTGTAAAAAGTTCATTATTAATCTAATTATACACTATCACGAAGCCACGATATCACTCAGTTAATCTGTGTAAAGGAATTGGATACAGAACCGACTCCAATTGGGTCCGAAGAATTAACCCTAAACCGCCACCGAACCTTAACGAAGGAAATGAAAACCAAATACCCTTAAATTTACTAAAACGAACACTAACCACGAAAACACAAAGTGGAACACTGTAAACACGAAAATAACTAGTGGAACACTGTAAACACGAAAATAACTAGTGGAACACTGTAAACACGAAAATAACTAGTGGAACACTGTAAATACGAAAATAACTAGTGGAACACTGTAAACACGAAAATAACTAGTGGGACACTGTAAACACGAAAATAACTAGTGGAACACTGTAAACACGAAAATAACCAGTGGGACACTGTAAACACGAAAATAAATATCGAAACGATTAATCCTAATCTAAATGACGGAAGGTGGAGTGGAACACGAGATACGGGGCCCGACGGTAGGTAGTCCACACAGTAAGGAGGCACTGCAGCAGTCGAGGTGCACAACAGCAATAGGGACTCGAATATGCGGATACTTAGGTGACGCAACACCGCCAGTGTCGGCCTAAATAGGAGCCGTTCCCGCTGGCCAGGCAAGAGATCGGTCCTAGTAGAAACGTTACAAGTACACTAGTTAGCAGTGACGGTAGGTAAGCTCCGACTGAGTCCTGGCGAATGACTAAACCCAGCACTAAAGCGGGCCCCAATAACGGGACGGCCACGTCACGCGTGTGGCCTTGTAGCCAACCTTATAGGAATAACCTAATAGAGACGCTAAAGCCGCCGAAACTAATTAATCACAAACATAATTCATCCAACAGCCGGAATAAGGTGAATTTCCCTTACAATCTGAAGTTCAATTAGGAAATTGTAAATAAAATTGATGGCTGCAGATGCGGCTGTCGAAGGAGCGCAAGAAGGGCGACAAGATCGTGACGGACTCGCAGGAGCGCGCGTACTGGAGGGTCTACCGCCCACCTCAGGGCTTCACCAACTGCTTAGAGGTTGCCCCCGTGCCTGACCGTGCCAACATGGCCAACAGGGTGCGCATGAAGAGTGTACAGCTCCTGCAGTATGAGGTGAGTTGTGAGGTGTTGTGATGACCGTGCCAGTACGGCCAACAGGGTGCGCATGAAGAGTGTACAGCTCTTGCAGTATGAGGTGAGGGGTCTTGTGAGGTGTTGTGAGGTGAGGGGTGTTGGGAGGTGTTGTAAGGTTAGGGGTGTTGTGATGACCGTGCCAGCATGGCCAACAGGGTGCGCATGAAGAGTGTACAGCTCCTGCAGTATGAGGTGAGGGGTGTTGTGAGGGGTGTTATGAGGTGAGGGGTGTTATGAGGTGAGGGGTGTTATGAGGTGAAGGGTGTGGTGTTATGAGGTGAGGGGTGTTATGAGGTGAAGGGTGTTATGAGGTGAGGGGTGTTATGAGGTGAGGGGTGTTACGAGGTGAGGGGTGTAATAAAGTGTAGCAACTGCCTCAGGTTGGCGCCTTTGTGCTGGACTTCGCCTGTATTACGCCACGACAGAGACCTCACTGATTCAATACAAATTAGCTTTTCAACATCCAATTCACATTATTATTAGGTTTTTATTGAATAGATGAGTATATAATTAGTTTAATATATGAGCATTTAATTAGTTTAATGTGGCGGCAGATTGAGTGGCTGACGAAGGGGCTGGACAGGACGAGAAGCAAGGTGTCGGTGGCGAGCGAGGCGCTCATCAGCCACTGCGAGGTCTTCGTCGACTACGACCCCTTCCTGGTCACCCCGCACCCCTCCAACCCCTGGGTGTCTGATGACGAGGAGTTCTGGCTCCTTAATGATGACTAGTGAGTGACTAGTGACTAGGTGACTAGTGACTAGTGACCCCGCACCCCTCCAACCCCTGGGTGTCTGATGACGAGGAGTTCTGGCTCCTTAATGATGACTAGTGAGTGACTAGTGACTAGGTTACTAGTGACTAGTGACTAGACTAGTGACCATGCACCCCTTCAACCCCTGGGTGTCTGATGACGAGGAGTTCTGGCTCCTCAATGATGACTAGTGAGTGACTAGTGATTAGGTGACTAGTGACTAGTGATTAGACTAGTGACTAGTGACCATGCACCCCTCCAACCCCTGGGTGTCTGATGACGAGGAGTTCTGGCTCCTTAATGATGACTAGTGATATGAGTTTGTAACTCTGCCAGCCAATCAATGACGATTTTACAGCCAAGCCCACCAATTATAGACGAGAAATCGGCCTCAACGTGCACTAAGCGAGTTCTAAAAATACTACTGCTTTACTAATACCATTTGTACTGTTCGATTAACACGTAATACTTGGAAGGTTTTCTGATCTTGACATATCTTATTAAATTAGCATTTCCCAGACGTATTCTAGCGCCTCTTAACATCTCTGTAATTTGGCAGCACCGACGCGCCTACAGAGATGCGAGTCAAGCGCTGGGCCATCAGCTTCCAGGAGCTCATCTCTGACCCGCTTGGTGGGTGACCGCTTCTGTAGCGTCTGTTACAAGTCTTATTACATGTTGATTCCTCTCTTATTTTATATTAGGTTATACTACGTGTTGATTGCTCTTATTAAATGCAAAGTTATATTACGTGTTAGATTTTGATAAAATAAAATAGATAAACACGAAGTACATGTCGCGATTTAATAATTGTTTTGATTGATTTTCGTGTATTGATGAGATTGAGAATGGCATGTAGGTTATGATTAAAAAGTATTCCAATATTGATTAGGTATTGGGAATTAATTCATTAGGTAGCTAGTGAGTAATAGGTATTCTACTATTAATCATTACCTATATACTATAAGCTAGAAGACTACACATGGACAAACTATCTATCCACCTTACACATATTGTCTTGGTTACGTTGCCGCTTCGCTGTTTTTAAGTATTGAGTCTTTGAATTCTCTCAAATAAAGTATTTTTACTTCATTAATTTTTTATAAACTTAGCAATGACACACCTTAAGTTCAGGCCAATAAAAAATGATCAACAATGAATTATTTGTAAAATTCTTTATGCATCTTTAAAGCCAACTACCTGCGCAAGGAATATAGGTATAGGTCAGGGTTGTAGCAGGTGTAGCAGGTCTCGGTTGTCGCAGGTATGACGGAGTTCACTAACTACCTGCGCAAGAATATAGGTATAGGTCAGGGTTGTAGCTGGTGTAGCAGGTCTCGGTTGTCGCAGGTATGACGGAGTTCACCAACTACCTGCGCAAGGAATATTCGCACGAGAACATCCGCTTCTGGCAAGCCGTCAACGAGCTGCGCTACGGACCAGCGTCCAACATGACCGAGGCCGTCGAGAGCATCTACGAGTGAGTAGAATATGTAGTAGAACTTATCCCATGCATTAGTAGATGAATACAATCGATGACTACGAGAGTTTTTGTTAATATAATTAGTGGCAGAATCTACCCAACGAATACGTTGAGTGTATGAGTATTATAATTTGATTTTACGTTTTAAATTGAGATTTCTTGTAACATTGCGGTATTTTGGGAGGTAAAATTTACCCGTTTGGACGTCTATAAATGCCGTTTCTTCTGTGAATAAAATTTATGCACTAGATTTTTTATACAATGCATCTTTTTGAAGAGAAAATCGTTTCTTCCTTATTTATTTAGTCAGAGTATTAATTTATTTATTTCATCTTAGTAAACATATGTAGATGGGCGAATTAATTTATTTCATTTTACTCAGGGAGTTCCAGAAGCTCTGATTCATTTCAATTTTACTCAAAGAGTTCATGAAGCCCTGATTTATTTAATTTTAGTCAGGGAGTTCCTGAAGCTCTGATTTATTTAATTACACTCAGGGAGTTCCTGAAGCTCTTATTCACTTAATTTTAAGCCCTAATTTGTTTTATTTTCAGCCCTAATTTATTTAATTTCACTCAGGGAGTTCCTGAAGCCCGGTGCCCCGTGCGAGATCAACATCGACGGCAAGACGATGGAGGAGACGCAGCTGCAGCGCAAGCAGCCCTCGCGCTACACCTACGACCTCGCCTCTGAGCACGTCTACGCGCTCCTACTTAAGAAGGATTGCTACCCTCGCTTCCTACGCTCTGAGGACTACAAGACCCTCCTTGCCAACGCCCTCCAGCCCTCAGCCAAAAAACCGAGGTATCCTTACTTGACCTGTAAGTTTGACGTTGTGGTTTTGATCAATGAATTTATTTTAATAATTAGTGGATTCACCAAGGTATCCTCACTCGACCTGTACGTTTGTTGTTATGTTTTTAATCAATGAATTTATTTAAATAATAATTGGATTCACCAAGGTATCCTTACTCGACCTGTACGTTTGTCGTTGTAGTTTTAATCAACGAATTTATTAAAATAATAAGTGGATTCAGTGCTAAGGAAGTCAACGCAGCAAGATGCAAAGAAAATTGGCATGGCAGAAAGGACACATATGATCGTTGGCTATAACATTTTACAGAATAAAAATATTTGATTTTTCTTTTTTAGCGCATTTTCTCATTTATGGAAAAATGCACTATTGTGCTAGCCATGTCTGTACGTCTGTCCGTCCGTCACTTCACGCTTTCGTCAACGAGAAAATGCGCTCTCTGTCACTCACTGCAGTGAGTACTGAGTTATATTTTTATATATGAAGTTTGCTCACAGTTATGTGCGAAGTGAGAGATGTGAGTTTAGACGAGTTTAGTGGATGGCGATGATGTGAGATAAGGTTTTCAATTACTGTTGAGGTAATTTTAATTAGACTAATTCTATTGAACTCAAATTAATTCGCTTTCTTCGATTACTTTTATGGCTTCTGCGCAAGTGGTTGGAATAATGGATTAGTACCAAAAAAATTATCTAATGTGTTTTCAGAAAAAAATGCCCAAAAATGCGTGCAAAAGCTTTTAATTTCATTTTAATCTGTCAAATTTTATTCAAATCAATATTATTGTAAATCGTTTATTCATGTACGCGTTTATTAATGTGTGATGGCATTTTTGAGCCGGCTATATAGCTAACCTGTAAAATATTTTCATTTAATATTATTGGCATCTACTTTCCTTCAAAATCTTATTCAATTAATGTTTATTTGTGGTATTGTTCGATAAAAACCTAGGTTCGTTTGGGTAAATTAAGCTACTTTCTCTGTAATTTATTTGATTACCAAGAATTATTGCGCAGATTTTTTCGTTGAGCATTATTAAGTATTTTCCGACAAATTATATTACTTTCTCTCTGATTACTAAGCATTATCGATCGCTTGTAATAATTTTTATATAATATATTTATATTATATAAAAATTAGACATAATTACTATAATAATTATATATAATTTTTGATTTATATAATTATTTTACAGGTTCTTCCACCTGAAGAGCGGTCCAGGGCGCAAGAAGACCTCCACCAGCGCGGGCACCTCCAACAGCCTGGCGCTGGTGGCGGTCACCCCACAGCCTCTCAAGCGCCACGGCTCCGACGAGCATCAGGGGGGCGCCGCCCCACCCAGGACTGATGCTGGGGGCGTACATATCGGCAGCACACCCACCCCACCTCTGTCTTCACACAAGCTCGAGTGCGACCCGCCATACAGGTGTGTGTGCCGCCATACAGGTGTGTGAGCCACCATACAGGTGTGTGACCCACCATACAGGTGTGTGACCCACCACACAGGTATGCCCACATAACCTGTCCTCACACAAGCTCGAGTGCGACCCGCCATACAGGTATGCCCAGACCTCTTCTGACCTTATGACCTTATGAAGAGTTTAGGACTTCCTAGTCCCCGATCACGCTGATGCGCTGCCTTCGTCGTCCTCCGTCTCCGAGTCGTCGTCGGATGTAACGTTGGACGTGTTCCGTCTATTTGCCCTCCTTTGGGCCAGCTGATGCAAGATGCTGTTGCTTGTCACTTGCTGAGAGTAGTTTCCTATTACTGGACAATCCGGGATCTTTCTCAACCACTTGTCCAGTCGTTTCTGGAATGTTGCAAGGGTAAACTCCCCTCCTGTCAGCGCTTTTGGCAAGGCATTAAAGAGCCTCGGTCCTACCACGGACAGTGATCCCTCACGAAGAGTCTGTACTCTGGCCGCGGCTCGGTTTTTAAATGGGGGAATCGTACACAGTCTTCCTCTCCTTATGTTGTAATATGTCACCATTCTGGCGTCTCACTCTCAAAATTGGGAGCCAATCCGGTTATCATCTTCCCAGTGTACAGTATGATATACCTTTTTCTTATCCTCTCCTGTGAGTACAGTCCCAACTCCCAAGTGTTTAAGCCTGTCCCACTAATTCAGCTCCAGCTCCCTCATGCCGCTGATCCTGTATGTGAAGGTCCGCTGCACTGCCTCCAGTTTCCGTACCGCACCCGCCTTGAGTGGCGACCAAAGTTGGCAGCAATACTCAAGATTGGGGAGCACAAGGGCTCTGAAGAGTGTATAATCTTTGGCTTCTCTTGTTCGAAATGTCCGCCAGATCCTCCCCATCCTTCGTCTGCTTTGCATGACTATTTCCTCGATGTGGTCATCGTATGTGGCATCTCTGTCTCTCTGCCGACTCTGTATCTCATTACTTCGAACTTGGTTCCGTTGAATTGCATATTATTCAGTAGGGCCCAATCGTAGATTGTCGACAAGTCATCATGTAGCCTCTCGCAGTCTAGGTCATCTGTGATCTTCATCAACACTCTTGTATCGTCCGCAAATGACTATGTAGATGCGTGGGTAGGCTCAGAGACGATATCGGCAAAATGGCTGAGGAAGGGGATCGTTCCTAGCACCGAGCCCTGAGGTACTTCGCTTTTCACCCTCTCTTCTCTCGATTTTGAGTTTCCAATTGAAGCTTGTACTGTTTCTGAAGCTTGTACTCTATTTGTAAGGAAATTGCGGATCCACCCTAACAGGCTTCCTTCTACAGCTCCAGCTTTCGATCTGAAGAGCACTCCATGGTCAACTTTGTCAAATGCTTTGACAAAGTCCAGGTATACTACGTCCCCGCCAGCTCCCTCCTCCAGTAGGGCCACAAGGCGGTGATGGTGCTCTAGTAACTGCGACAACCAGGAACGATTACGCCAGAAACCATCTTTTGCATTATTATACAGTTCAGCCTCTTCCATATACTGAAAAGCCTCTTTGCCACTACGTTCTCAAAAACCTTGATCACATGTAAGGTCAAGGTCACAGGTCTGTAATTTTGGGGTCTGTCCCTCGGACCTCCTATGTGGATTGGCGGTATCAGTCCTACTTTTAGGCCCTCAGGAAAATTCCCTCCGCCATCGAGGCTTTCCAGAGTATTGTGAGCGGAGCCTTCAGTGCTCCAACACACTTCTGCATCAACGATGCCGGAATTCCATCCAGTCTTGGTGATGAGAACGTCGCGAATTCTTTGATACTTATTTCCATGTCTTCTGGTCCAAACTCGATGTTCTCCAACCCCCTTCCACCAGCCAGTTATAATAATAATAATATAATAATATTAGCGGTTTCAGCGTTTATTAGGCCGTAGGCCTGTCGCCGATTCTTAACCTCGCAGAACATTCACAGCATTTTTCGGTCTCGAACTCGCAGCTACAATTCTGCTGTGCTTAACCGCCCGGCCTCCTTGCCGATTCTGACCAAAAACTGGCGCACAGAGCTGGGATCGAACCCGCGCCTCTCTGCGCCAATCCAGGTACTCTGAACTGTAACCACTGGGCCACCCTGCCCAGTCTCCAGTTCCTGGAGAACTTCAATTTCATTCTCCTTTCTTGAGTAGCGGGGGTTGCTGAACACTGATTCAAACTGCGATCCCAGTAACTCACACATGCCATGGTCGTCTCCGACAATGACTTTGTTATCTATAAGCGGACCTACTGGCGTCTTTATTTTAGCCTTGGACTGAGCATATTTAAAAAAATACTTGGGTTTTATTTTGATGACCTCAACCACATCGCACTTCCGCAGCTTGTTCTTCCATCCTGTGCGAGTCCTGCAGCTTGAGTTTGATTTCCTTGTGCAAATCTACTAGCCTGTATCTCCTCAGATCACTAGTGGATTAAGCTATTTGGTTATTTAATCGTTTGCGTTTTCTCATAAGGATTCGTCGGTTTCCCGGAATGCTGCGGACTTTGGGGCCCGTTTTTCTCGGGGGTATGACGCCGCACACATACCTGTGCTAATTTCTCACAAAGTTTTGTGTAAATTCCCTCTGTATTCATCTCGTGAAACTATTCTCTCCAGTCAGTTTCGTCAAGTTCCTTCCAATTTGCCTCCCAATCCGTTCTTCGATGGTGGAAATTGAGTCCTTGCAGTCCATTTTGGGGTATAGCCCTGGGCTGGGTATCGGTTCCAATCATCGTATCCACCATCACCAGGCGGTGGTCTGACAGTGAGGTTTCTTCAACCCGAACGTCAACCACCATTCTTTCATTATCAGTAAAGAGATTGAGGATATTGTGTTCTCTTCTCGGCAGCCGAACCTTTTGACTGAGCAAGTGTTCCGCAGCAAACTTCACTAGTTTGGCTTCATTGACTTGTGTCGCGGTCATCGTCCTCCAACCTCGTGTAAGGTTGACACCCTCACACAAGCTCGAGTGTAACCCACCATACAGATATGTCCACCCCACCACCATACAGGTATGCCCATTCCACCACCATACAGGTATGTCCACCCCACCACCATACAGGTATGCCCACCACACCGCCATACAGGTTCGCAATGATTGAGTGACAGTACAGAGCACAAGTAAATTTCTCGCTGCATGCAACTTTAAATTTTGCATTGAAATGTTCGCCGCATTTATTTTTCACAAGTTCAGCGAGCAGTTGACCTTAAGTTTAGGATTGATAATGTTTTTATTAAAGTCATAGAGAGCAATCCATTCAGATGAACCTTGGAATAATCTAAGCAAGCTTGTGCATGAGAAGAAAACTTCTCATTTATTTGGATGTTGAAAATGTGGTTCAATTGTGAAACATGCACGGGTTGGATCATGCGCTTGCACCTATACTGTTTCAACTCAGATCTTATCAGTGGCATTTTGGAATTTCTGGTTAAAATTTTTTGTGGAATGAGACTCGATAACAGTAAATGAAGTCCAGTATTCTGTTGCACTTGAATAAATTATTGGTTTTGGTATCAATTGCATTGTTCTTTAACTGATGTCATTGCTATCTCATTAAAAGAAACATTCATTCGTTGAAGGTTGTTTGTTCTTTGTATTTGAGATTCCATTTTGCTTAGTGGTTGTGAAGACACTTAACAAAATTTATTTCAATAATTTTCCTGTATTCGAAAAAGAATTATTGAAGTCCTTTTGAGTCTCGCGGATGCACAGGTAAGTTAAATGCATTTTAAATTGTATCAGATATCGCTTTGGAGCTGCTTTGCGGTTGCCTGTCGACCAGACCACGGTAGCTCAGCTGTCATGCATTTAATTTGCCATAGTTAGCTGCATATTTGATCATTATCTTCATGCTGCTTTTAATTATAGTAATTCCTGTAGCACCTAGACGCCGAGTACGTAACTACTCGTTCCTATAGAAATAATCTGCAACGTCAGAAAATTTTACTTTTTTAATACAATTTGTTCGCATTTAATCACCTGCATAATTATCTTTCGATAAAAAAATCAGTTTTAAACCTCATCGAATAATTAATGACTTCATGAATACAAGTAAAATCAATTAAACGACTACATTTGCATGGAAAAAATTAAAGCCTGAATTGCCAAATAATTTATATTATGTTATCATTCTAATATAATAATATATTTGTCAATTTAGGTTATAATTTCTCCCGTGTAACTTCGGTCGTTCAATAATCAATGACTCCCTTACTATACGGCGGTTAGCAATCTAATGTTAACGCGAAATAGAAAATCTCATTGTTTTCTATACAATCATTTTACAGGGGAGACCTTCCTACTCAGCGAATTGTATCGCAAAGCAAAGACGTGTCCAGTTCATAGTAAGTTGAGAACTCGTTCGAAACCTTTTATTCTGCTTCTGTTTTGACCTCTACTCTATCAGTACATGGACATGTTACTTCTGTTGTCTCTAGTTTTATTCACATTCGAAGCGTGAGTTGGAAGGTAATAATGTTAACATTCACGGCTTGGTGCATTATTTTAATTAGGTTGTCTATTGACACAGTGCTATGTTTCGTGCATTTCGAGCACCAAGTGTTCAAAATATTCCATCTTCGCAACATTGCTTCATCAAACTATGTGTCGTAATATCAATTCAAAACAACAACGTTAACAGATTAGAGATGCTGGCTGAGCATTCATGAACTTCTGCTCATTTTAGTGCAAATAACCAATTCTTGAATAACTAAAGTTTAAAACAATACCGCCTTCGCTTCGCTACTCTCTTCCGCTATCGCTGACAGAACCGTGCTTTACAACATTTGTGTCAGTGTTTTTAAATATAAATCTACATAAATGTGTCTAAAATATCTCTTATAAGTAAAGTTTATAAATAATAAGCGTCCTGAACGTGATGAACTTCACTTGTGATCTTATTCTCTGCATGAGTGTCATCTTCCTGCGACTGTCATTTATTCTCATGCTTCCTTCAAAACCATTTAAAGTCAGATAATTGCAGCAGCTTTCTTTTTTTTCTTTGCTGACCGTATTTTTTAGGTTTCGTGATCCTAAAGTTGATGTAAACACTTGAAATCTCATTCTAACATCGTTTTACTGGTAGGCTTTACTTGCATATTTAAATTTTATTCTCTATTTATCGTTAGTTTCCTCGCCTTTGCAATAGCATAAGCTTTTAATTCAACTTTCGCGATATCGTCTCATTTTTATGTTGCAAGGAAACTCTTGCGCGTCTCATCGTTGTGGAATTTATGCCTTTCATTCCGTGCAAATTTGTTCCTTGTAAATACATCCATCGTTAAGTTATCATGATTCTAACATTAAAAAATCGAAGAATCTATTACGTGAAAAATTCTTTATTATTCGTACTGCAATCGAGAATTATCTGGCAAGGATCTTAAAACTTTAATTCCAACCAACACCACATGCTTCGATTTTCAAAGTGTACGCTCAATGTATAACGAAAGCTGGCATCTTTCAGTTCATTCAAGTGGCGTTTATTTCAAACGTAAACGATTCTCGGAAAATTGTACTCTGTATTTCTTCATTTAGATGGCGTTCTCTCTTACAATTCCTTGTATTGATTTAATTTTTTAATTAATTAGTTACGTATAGTTGTGAGAAGTTATCTTGTTTTTAAATTAAATTTGTGGCTGAGTAAAAATCTTTTCGATATTTCCAGTACGTCTGGCGAGTCCCAGGACGCCGCCATGTCGTCCATCTGTCCATGGGACACGGCAGAGGCGTCCAACGTATGTCCCTGGGAGACCAGCGATCCTCCTCCTACTTCTACTTCATCCCGAACCCCGACATCCCAGCCAAGTTCTCTGCCGCTAATACAGCAGAAATCATTTAGATTGGAGAGCAGCACCACTCACCTCAAAGGCAAACCCCCTGACCGGTCCGTATCTGTGGACGTTTGTTCCATGGGACAAAATCGCGGTAATTTGATGGGTGCTGCAGCTCAAGTGTCACCCACTGGTCCCTCTTACTTACCTCCTTCTGCAAGCGAGTCGAAAGTCACTCTAAATATTTGTCCGTGGGAGTCGCAAGATTTGCCTCAAAAACCACAGGAAAAGTCGCGCTCGGTAGATGTGGAAGTATGTCCGTGGGATCAACGTGATGACGATGATAAGAACTCGACTGATCATGCATTTCCTAGTGACCGCGAACTATCGGGGAGCAAATCTCCATCGATTAGTTCTACTCATGAATCAAAAGGGGTCGTTGGCGACGCGTCGATGCAGCAGACAGAAATTGAAAAAGTTCACGGAACTTCTCCGTCACTGAGTCTGCAAAACTTGCATCAATTATCTGCATCTCAGTCGTCTCAGGATGTGGCATTAAGGCAGCAAGCGTACCAATTGAGCACTGATTTATCGAATGTAAAAATTGAAATAGATCAGTCACTTGAAAATAATCGCAAAGCCAGCCACCGAGAGCTCTCTGCATCTGCTTCTGTTCCCTGTACTTCTATTCTCGGTCATCAGGCTAACTTGGACTATTCAGTTCGTTCGGGCCATTCCTCCGAAGAGTACGAGGTGGAACCCACTCAAGCAGCGACCACCCCTGTCACGGTAAGCTACAATATTTCTGATATGGCGTCATCATCTTGCGAGAAAAGCGAGAGTGTTTCCCTCGGGTCGCAAATGGAAAGTCAAAAGCAACATGATCCAAAATATGTTACTTCAAAGCCGCCAATGGCTAAGATCCAGATACCTCGAACTGTCAGCGTGTCTTCCCAAACGCAGACTGATCCAATCATACAGCATAAAACTAATCAGCAAACACAGTACCCTTCACGCGACTCTTCCTTCCGGCATTCCAGCAAACACGGTCACAAGCAATCCAAACAGGTAGCAGTTCCATACGCCGTGGATTATCCACCAACTTCGCATTCACATGTCCAGCAAATACAAATGAAGCAAGTACTTAACAGATCTCAGCAGTTCCAGGCGCAGCTTGACCGTCAGAAGTTCGAAGTGGATTATGAAAACTATTCACTGGAAAAGCCTCAACACGTGAAGGACGATACAGCCGTTCAACGCAAACATAGCGAGCCTAACCAATCGAAATACAGTCAACAACATCGACAACAGCAGTTCTACCACAGCAAAGACGACCTCGAAGATCATCAACGTTGGCAGCAGAGGCAAGCAAGAGTCCAACAACAACCTGCAGAACAAAGGGAACGACGAGACGACGAGCCACTGTCAGGCATCAGCTCCTATGACCAACAGAGACGAGGAGAAGGAATTGCTGCTCAACGACGTGCCGATCAACAGAGGGAAATTGAGCATCAACAGCGCGAACAACAGAATGTTTTAGTGGAAGAACAGTTACGGCGAGGTGAAAGACATGAACATCAACGCTTAAGTCGGCAACACGAAGTACAATTGCACGGAGAACAGCCCCTAATGCCGAAATTCAACTCGATCAATCTGCCGGAACGACCGGTCTCCTTGCAACATTACTGTGAAATCGAACATGGTGAACCTCAGTCGCATCGAAACCGCATGAAGGAGTTTGCTGGGGAGGAAAAGCAGCGCTTGCTGATGAGAGGTCTCGAATATGAGAAGACGAGTGAACTCGAACCATACTCTTCAATACCTTCTCTATCAACCATGAGCCAGGATTCTTCTTCGTCAAGTAGGGAATTGCTTCACATTGTACAAACTTCCTCTACCCACGTTCAGCCACAAATGTCTTCTTCTCAAGTTCACCAGCACAAAATGTGCCCTACCTCCGTTTCAACATCGTACTCCACATCTTTGGTCCAATACGTAGGTGCTCCGGAACCCCTCTCAAGTGTGACCAAAATATCGTCAGCTAATTATACATCGCCGATTGTTGGTCGTACGCCGGTTGTATCTGTGAGCCAGGAGAGCTCTAGCCGGACTGGTAGTGATGTAGCAGGACCGTCTGGACAGATTCAGGTTGAAACTTCGTCGGGGAGGATTCAAATCGCGACATCTGTGAGCCAGAAACTGTGTTCGCGGACATCTGACGAGCCTGTTTCTTCGCAGCCTTCTCTCCCAAAGTCAACCGAAGCGCCCAACAAAGTTTGGGACGACCCAGCTGACATATGCCCCTGGGAAGACGAGTGAGTACTATCATTTTTACCATTGTTTTTTCGCTCCTGTCGCTCTTACATAGCAATATTTTGTTGGCTTAGTAGAGTTTTTGTTCCTTTATTTCGGTGCGCACAAGTTATTGGCGAGCCTCATTGAATGATTCCTTTTGAGTTAGCCAAGACTACGTAGGTGTCTTAAAAATTGAAATCGAAATCTAAAGTCTCCTAAATTTCTTCGTGAATCTGAAAGTCTTTCTAATAAATTTTTCAGAGATATTTTTCGTCAGACAACGAACACACCACTAAACTCTTGTTAAAGCCTCAGTCCAATTCATTTTTTAATAAAGCTTCATTGCTGTAAAAGTACATTAGAATTCGTGGAAGATCCTGGTCTTCGCCGTTGTGAAGTTTGCACTCTTGTCCACCGAGCTCTCCTAGACTTGTGAATGTTAATACGTGACAGTAGCTGTAGGAAAGACTTGCGTCGATATTTTGTTTGCCAAATATTTGTGCATGGAGCGCCTCCTCAGCTCTGTGTCGTCGCTCTATCTTCATTTGTATTTTGTCCCGAGATGATCGCTTTCTCATTCAAGCAAATTTTCTCTGTTTTACTTTTGGATCAAACGGCACTGCTCTCATTTGACGATCAAGTTTCATGTGGCAATTTATTCACATTAATATATCGGGAGGGTGTCTTTTGTATTAAGAAGATTACATAAAGAAATTTGAACTCCATTGTAATTCTAAAAACAGCAGTAATTAATCTAGCTTTAACTTTTCAGGCGAGAATCTACTTCTCAATGGTGTATCTATTTTTCTTTGTTCGGACCTTGTGTTCTTAAAACCAAAAATCACTTCTAATAAATTTTCATTATAAGTGTTTCTTTGTAACGACCGTCTGCTAGATATGTAAAAAATACCCAATTTCAATGTATTTCTTAGTGTGCAATTCAAGTAATTATCAACCTAATTATATATCAACCTAAATATATATATATATATATATCCTATTCACCACATAGAGGCTCATGTATATATATTTTGTTGTTTATTGCCTGAAAAATTCCTTATTCGTCTCTTGAAATTACCTATTAATTAATTATCAATTTTGTATATTATGTTTCTAAAGTTACGTCAAATTTTTCTACGTAATTTCATTTTATTTTTATAACTCTTTTGTCCATACATATATATAGACTATTTTATACATAAGACGAATTTTCAATTTCTCTGTTCTCTTTGTGGACTTGGGCTTGAGTTTGATTTTTTTAAAGAATTACAAAATGTTGCGTCCATATTCTGCCGTTGCGATCAAGAGCGTACGCAATGTCTGCTCAAGTTTAGTCTGTATCTACTTACTTGATCTTCTTAAAAAGGTTCTATATTGCAACGAAGTATTAGCTAAATTAGAATACCTCTTATGCATAAGCCGGAATTGATAAAATAACTCCATACTTTGCAATCATTCTCCTTAATATCTACATTGCACATGTTAAATAAGCTCAATAGTAGAACAATTATACATAAATTTTTGTGTTAGGTTCTATTGCACTACTAGCTCCATCTAATATAACCAAACACAATGAGCGATTTCTTGAAGTATTCAACCCTTTCATTATTCTTGTTAACAAAAGCTGTCACAAGTATCACTTTCAACGGGTGACAATAAAGCAGTGGTTCCCAAAGTGGGCGATATCGCCCCCCTAGGGGCGGTGGAAAGATTTTGGGGGGCGGTAAGGAAGAAGAAGGCGGTAGGGGGGCGATAAGGGGGCGGTAGTCCGAAGTCGAAGTCAGAAGTTCCAACGTTTGTTTGACGATTTGTACACAACACGTTTAGCACATGACTCCCAGCGATGGTTTTGTCACCCAGATCTGTTTTTTAACCTCTCCTGGGTTTACGTCTCAGACAAATTAACGGCCGGACTCGCGGCCGATCTCACGACCAATTTCCAAATTCGATGATCAAGGAATATCTCTCAAACTAATGAACTCAACTCGATGAAACTTAGTACCTACACGTATTCATTGGGGCCTAGCGATAATGTTTAGCTCGTGAAAATTGATTGAATTTTGCCATCGTTTGTTATGGCAATACCGGCCTAAATTCACAGTTATCAAGTAATTTCTTCAAAACTACTGAACAGATTCGAACGAAATTTTGGATTTGCAGTCCTAAATACCAAACGGTAATGTTTAGCTCGTGAAAAAATTTTCGATTGTGCCTTCGTTCGCGAGTTTTTTTTTCATTTCCCTTTCATTAGTGATTTAAACAGCAATACGTGTTTAAATTCACAGTAATCAATAAATTTTTCCAAACTGCTGAACAGAATTGAGCGAAATTTAGTATTTAAATACTTAACCTCAGCTACGGTGATGTTTAGCTCGTTAAAAATTTTTCGTTTTGCCTTTGTTTGCGAGTTATACGGCTATACATATACGGCTCTTGGTTAAACCGGCCTGTAGAAAAGCCGGTCGTTCCTCCTATATCTGTATAACTCGCGAACGAAAGCAAAATAAAAATTGTCACGAGCTAAACATCAGAGTTGAGAGGTTAGGTAATTATATACAAAGTTTCCTTGAAATCTGTTCAGTAGTTTAGAAGAAATTTCTTGGTCGCCGCGAATTTAAGTGATAAATTACCCGGCGATACGGTCCGAATATAAGGAAGTGTGAAATCAAGAATGACGGTGAAATGAAAAAAAAAACTCGCAAACGAAGGTAAAATCGAAAAAATTTTATAAGCTAAAAATTACCGTTTGGTAGTTAGGCATGTATATTCAAAATTTCGTTCAAATCTGTTCAATATTTGGAAGAAATTCTTTGATCACTGCGAATTTCGGCCTGTTTCGCAATATACGCGTAACTCACGAATGAAGGTGAAATTAAAAAAAATCATCTAAAGTTGTAATAACGTTATTTCAATATCATATTACCCATCTGTCATCTAACGTTGTAATAACGTTATTTCAATATCATATTACCCATCTGGAATCTAACGTTGGAATAACGTTGACTAAACGTTTTAACAAAATTAACTCGTAATCAACGTTTTTTCAACGTAATTCTTCTAGAGGGTAACCTTCTAGCTACGTTGTTCTGAACTATGGTGCCGCATTCTCTTGCAGCGCCTTTACCCCCACTTGGCTGTAAAGAGAAGCCGGTGCTCTGTGAGGTAGGAATTCTGGCCACAACCTTACTTTATATCATTACTATTACTATAAAGTTATCATTGTTATACGTATATCCTTACCGTTGACATCCTACTGCTGCTTTTCATCATGCTTCTTACCCCTGAAAGCGGCAGGTTGTGTTTTTTTATTAGGAATGTTAAAAAATAATAATGTTCTACTTTATTACCTATTACCGTTTTAAGTCATGCTCAACATCGTCAAACCTAGTAGTACCTAGAGACAATCGCTTCTCAGAAATGCCTTGATTTTGTAAATTTAAATTTAATTCGCAAGAATTCACTGGAAATGACCTGTCGCTTGTTATAGTCCTTCCGAAATTTTGGGTGTGCTTTACCGAAGCATTTGAAATGGACGTTTTTTTCAAGCTTTACTTTTGTTCCCTGCATCGAAATGGCCGGTGCGCCTCAGCCTGATCTGTTGTGCACGCGACAGTACTCGCTCCTTTGATGGTTCATGTTGAACAATGTTCCACTCTGTTGATTATTCCCTTACTTAAAATCTCCGAATCCCATCTCCGACCTCTCTTTTATTATCTTCGTGAAAATTTCTCAATTCTGGCATGGTCGGTACACTCCTCAATATTCAGTATTTTTTATATTGCAGGTACTATTTGAAGTTATTGAATTAACATATTTCTTCCACTGCTTCCTCCTATTCCCGGTTCTATGGCTGTGTTACTGTTTGAACGTGTCGAGTACATTAAATTATGTCATCCTGCTCTTCATTCCTCAACTCTTCCTAAGTGTGTAGCTTTTTGGAGTTGCCCAAATGCTTATTTGCCGTTCGGAATTCCGTTTATGATGGATGCTTTGAATCATGTTTCAGTTGCCGTAGTTTCCCATCGAGTCACCTGAAGCTTATCGCTTTTCAATTAATTTAACCCACGAATGTGTCAAAGCTAAGAGTTTGATATTTGCTTCTGGCTGATATTGTATTATTAATTGTATCTTTATTGTATTATTAGAGTTATCTGTATTGTATTATTAGTTTTATTTGTATACTTTTACCCTTTGTTATCGTGCAAAATCTCAAGAATCTCATGCAGAATCTCAAGGGTTTTGCGTTGCTTAATTTTTTTCGCGCTCGTAATTTTTCCAGAAGAAATATCACATTTATTCTTGTTGATCTGTTTGTTAAAATGACCTTTTCAGATTTTCTTCAAATTAAGGATAGTGAATAGAAGTTGAGGACTTTCAACGTTGTTGGAATTCGATGCCAGAATGCTGGTAATATTTCCTCTGTGATCCGTGAGGTGTTTTAAACTTTTCAAAAGAAAGTAAGGTCGCTTGAGATCTTTTTGAGTTAGCGAGGAATGCGACAGCGAAAAGTTCCAGAAATAAGTTACATAAAAGCTTAACTTACAAAATGAGCCGTCATCGCTATAGCCATTTCTAAATAATATCAGGGATAGCATTTTAATTCTATTTGAGAATTTCCTGGTTACAAAATTTACAAGTTCATGTCTATGCAATAAATATCATTGAGCTAAACTTTTTGAGGGTCATATCCTGTGTAAATATAAACACGACAAATGAAAATAACGTTAGAGATGCGAAATGAACGTGAAAATTTTTATTTCTGTTCTGCATAATTTTTATTATTCATTCCTCTTGTACTTGAAAGGTCAGGTATTGTCATTCAGGCTTAGAAATAAGATGAATCATTCGAAAATTTGGATCTTCAAGAAACGGCGATCTAAGATACGTCAATAGGTGGTTCGCATCCAAATGACCACAGAGAAAAATGGGTTCTGTTAAAATGTAGCTGTCTGAGATCCGGCAGTATGTGTTTATCATTCATATGACTCGCTCTATAAAGAGAAAAGTGGGTTTTGACAGAATGCAGCTATTTATGATCCGACAGGATGTGGTTCACATCACTCCTTGTCATGTAGATGCAAACTACCTTCTTCAGTTTGAAAAATAGAATAAAAATTTTGATCCGCATCGAAGAACATCGTTACCAACTGCATTATGATACCTGATATCATAATGCAAAATCATCCGCTACTAACGTTTCTCTATTTAAAGATAAAATGCCATTGAATTTCTTCCCACTACAAAATTAGATTAATTACTGAACATATTCATGCATGAATACTTCAAGATAAAATAGCTCTATGTTTATCCAGCAAACTGGGATTGGTCGTTTAACGTATTCAATAAGTATTTATTCAATAAGTACAGTGGAATATTTTAGTTCTAATTCACTTGACGAAGTTTTACCTGAAAAAGTTTATACAACTTTTATTCAATTTCCCAAATTAGTGTGCAGATTGTCTTCCATATCCTTGACTAGTCTAGTGTAATCAGATCTCAGTTTTAGTTTATGAAAATTTTCGTTCTACATTTTTAGTGTAGAGTACATATATGTTCGCAGGCAGTCAATTTTTTAAATTAGCTGCTCTCAAATTGATTATAATTTATTGATAATTTTAATTGTCATATAGCGATGACACATCAAAAAAATTAATTCGACCTATTGCTTCAACCTCATCAGTAATTGGATTATAGTGCGTAATATTGTTCTGTTTAATCTAGCGCTAACGAAACTCAGCTTCATACCTCAGGAAAAAGCTCTACTAAGATCTGCACCGCTAGCTTCATTAAACTGCTTGCAAATAATCTAACTACCCAGGCAGTGGCAAATGCCTTGCTGAAAGTTTTGTTGGAACTCATTGTGTAATTCATTTAAACGTAATCCGAGAGATTGACAGATTTTTAATTTGGAAGCATGTTGCTGTAATTTGTGAATGTATAATTACTTGGGCTGGGAGCATGTGGCTACATCGAATGGATTATTTGTGTTGCTGCTTTGCTGATCTATGGAAAATCCTAGAAAAAATTTTTTGCGCTCAGTGTATTTTGCTCGTCCAATTAATCATTAATTAATTTTTTAATTCTTTGTATTTTCTTTTAGCCAAAAGTTCCAAAAAGAGCAATTTATTCATTCGTGCCGGGTCTCTTAGTTGAGAGCAATCAACATTGTTTACAATAATGGGATATTAAATTCCATTTGTGGCATCTTCATACTGCTTTTCAGCGATTTTATTTGGATTCATGCTCATGTCATAAGCATTGATTACCTAAAAAAATTTTACTCCCGCAGGGAACGCTGCCGAGTGGATGCACCATTCGTCAAAACCTACGCAACTCTTGGTTATTTGTGACCAAACAACCAAGATATTCAACTCACTGGTTATTTGTGACCAAACATTCAAGATATTCAACAGACTTGGTTATTTGATACCGGACCTTGTCCAAGACACCTGGTTAATTGCTCCTTAGTGTTCGGCTTACACTTAAGGATATTCGCGACTGAACATTGACACTTTCTGTATTCGAAACTTCACGAGGTGAAAGGATTAAGACTTGAACTTACAAGAGGACTAGCGTTTAATAAACTTGACATCAGCTATATTTCATTACAAAAAGTTACACCTTTTCTACATATCTAGCCGATCATGTTTCATATCTATAGTTGACACTTAAATTAACCATACATATTTATTTATTTTTGACATCAAGAAACGGAGTCTTCTGCCTTTTCGGTCCAGCAGCATTCGACACTTCATGGCTGTTCAGCTCACGGTTGTCAGCAAGATTGAGCCTAAACTCTCTTACCACACTGGGACAGTAAGAATTTTTAGAAACAAACTGATGGAGAACTGATTGACGGTCTGGATTCAGCGAAGGAAAGCGTGGATTATTATGAACATTTGGACTACTGCGAGTTGTTGGCGAGGAGGAATCTTTGAAGAGAGCCCTTTTCGAAGTCGAGTGTCATTTAACTGAGCCCTACTTAGGCACCGTCGGAAAGACTTCTGTTCGGAGATCCCTCATTGAAATACTGATGTGGAAGCGACATGAGAGATTTGGTTTACTGGTGTAAACCGCAGCGATGACCTCGGGTTGAAGCTTCTGACGACCAGCGCTTGTCTCGGTGAGCTCGTATACTAGTCGCCTCTAACCTTCTGTTCCCCACTGGCCTGTGCTTCATCATAATTACCTTGGCAGACACTTTCTTGCCTACATCAATTCGTTGAAAAACTTTCAAGATAAAAATGCTTCGTGTTTCATAAAGGATAGTGGCATACAGGATGGACGTAGACGCGGCTGGTACCGAGGATGGGTCGAGCTCCCTTGGCACACGGTGCTTGAGCTCCTTGGAAGCTTCAACTCGACATCGGATGGAAAACTGAAGGCCGATGAAAAGCTAACTTGAATGTTGACGAACGAAGTAATTTCATGCGTTGATCTGAAAAGGAAATGATGGCAACCTGACTGAAAGCACAAATAGTCTTGAATTGTGGCATTGCGGTAAGGTTTCTAAGAATATCTTTCTGTTTCAAAGTGGTGTGGTTAAAATTGACACGGAGTGGTGGAAGGATAATAAGAAATATTTAAATAGTTTTCTTCGTTAAACAATACATGACGAATGGTGCTTCTGGGTCATGGGTTGTTCCGGGACATCACTTTGAAACGCTGGTGAGAACTTGAATGAAGGTGAATGCGCAGAAGCAAAAAAAGTGTTGGAGGAAAATGACAATTTCTTGATATGATGTAAGTGAGACGATAAACTTGAGAACCAGAATTTCCATGTGAATATTGCCACTATTGAAAGAACAATCACGGCAACCGTAGTTATATTCTGCTGCTGTAGCATAGGAAAAGAGTAATAGATGCAATTAGTAGGAGATGCACACTGAATTTTTATTAATTTTACCTATAGCTTAACATCTGCATTTGTTCTAGCTCTATACCTATCACACATAATGTTCAACATCTCACAATGATTTACTATAGAATTACATAGGATCATATTATTTTTCTTGAACTTATCTCTGCCAGGAACATTACGAAACCGTTCACGTTGACCAGTGACAGAAATTTCATTTAGATGCTCTCGCATAGCGAGTAATTTATTCGTGGAGAGTAAGGCGAAGTTACTGAGGTAGTTCCGGACCTGACGTTATTATAAAGAGCTCCTACCCTCTCGGTGTTTCCTTTATAGCGATCGTTGTTTGCTATAAGAAAAGTACGACTCTATTGTCGAGTTCTGGAAACTTTTTAGCTATTATCTGTGTTGTTATTATCTAGTAGGTGGTCCCCAAGGTTTGTTTTATTGTGGAGACGATGAGACGAAATGTTTTATTCGTTTACATTGTTCCCGACATCCATTGTATCGCTTTCGGTGGGCGATAAAAAGGCTGTAAGTGATGCTACTTTTATCAGAGTTAGCTATGTTGCATCTTAAAATTTGAATTATGTCAGGAATGAGATTTGGATTAGGTTATCTATAACCTCTCGCTTGAAAATTTTATTTGTTAATGAGCATTTTTTGTGATCTTCTAACGTCTCGAAGCATTACCACAAATACTAGGAACTCCTCCTACGATTTTTGGTGAATTTCAGCGGTTTTCATAGATTGTTTTAAAAATCTTCAATGTTGATAGCATATAGTTTGTTACTATAAGATTGCTGGAAAGAGTTACTGAAACATGTCCCGTTATAAAATTTCCCTAACAACATATTTAGCTCAAAATCAAAGTGAGGTACACTTAAGATGAGCACGCGAGTTTGGCTTGTGATTAAATACACTGAGGCTTCTTAGAGCTGATTTATGGTTACGTAACTTCGTGTGCTCTGTAAAAACGTACTCTGTAAGTCGCATGTTGTACTCCCATGAATATCATGCATTTAACACAGATTTTCTAAGGGTTCTTGCTTAAGTACGGTTTCTGATTGTAGATCTCTGGGCCTTAGGTCCGGAATTTTAACATTATCTTCGTGATCGAATATTCCTGATAGGCAAGTTTTGGTCATTGATTTTTTAGGTCTAATTGTGTTACATTCATCTTATCATTGACACATATTTTTTATTCGGAATTAAGGCTCATTAAATATGCCCTTTCTCAAATAAATTTATTCGTTTTCATACTCAGATTCGTAGAATAAAAATTACCTAATAATATCTCTGAGAATTAATATGTATTTAACATAGATTCGCCATTTTTTAACCAACTTAAATTTCAGTTTGATGCTTATTGTCTCTGTATCACATCTTGAATTTGACATTGGCTGAGATTTCTTGATTTGACCAATTCGAGGCATATGTTCTCTAATGTTTGCTCTGAGTTGTTATACAAGTGATGTATGTAGATGTTCCAGTGTCAAAAAGTGATGTCATATCTGGCGTCTCAATTTAAGATATCAATAGTCAAGAAATTGTTGTTGATGTTGGTAAATTACAATATTAAATTATTATTTTAAAAATTTCCGAATAGAAATTTGCAGATTATACGCGTTGTCGAGTCTCTAGTAATAAGTAAGTGTTAGGAGTTTTAATGATGAATCTGCATCTACATTGGAGACGCTTTCGTAGAATGGTCAATCTATATTACACTTACTGCCTTTAATGCCTTCATTTTTCGGACATATTATCCATTATTTAAATTGCTCCAACGATTTGCATTTATCCTATGATTACCGGACATGATTGCTCTTCTTCATCGCGTGTTCTGACTCTGGAGTGAAAATAAGCTTAAATAAAATCGCTTAATGGTACATTAATGGTACAACCATAGAAATCTTTTTCATTTCAATCAATCATTGCAAGTTAAAGATCACTCTAGTGTTTCTGATCTTCTAGAAAAGTAAGTAATTCTCAAACTTTTCTACTTCTCTAGTGAAAGTGGCTCAATCGATGTCACTTTTAGAAGAGGCATCTTGCCTCCAACTTTCGCTGTCTCGTTCCTGTATCACTTGTAACTAATTACATGTACGCAGCATGTACACATGGTGGTTTTTTCTCGTACGCTGTCAGGCTTTGACTCGTACTCTGTCAGACGTTGACTCGTATGCAGTCAGGTTTTGACTCGTACGCTGTCAGGTTTTGACTCGTACGCTGTCAGGTTTTGACTCCTTTGCTGTCAGGTTTTGACTCGTACGCTGTCTGGTTTTGACTCGTATGCTGTCAGGTTTTGACTCGTACTTTGTCAGGTTTTTACTAGTACGCTGTCAGGTTTTGACTCGTTCGCTGTCAGGTATTGACTCGTACTTTGTCAGGTTTTGACTCGTACTTTGTCAGGTTTTGACTCGTACTTTGTCTGACGTTGACTCGTACTCTGTCAGACCTTGAATAAAATGCAATGTTCAAGCCTCAGGCCTCTCTGATGTTGCTCGTTTTATTTGGCTGAATATAGAGACATTTCCAAACTGGTATCTGCACTAGAATGTGTGTTTATTGCACACCCCACACGATGCAAAAGTAATAGCAAATTTTAATCACGAGTAAGTCTTATTGTATTGTTTAACCTTTGAAACAAAGGACATGAATGACTCACTGTCAAGTTGTGTTTGCTGTAAGGCAAGAGAAATAGGATTGTTGTAGTAGTTTCTAAAAATATTTGCATTGCTAATTTACTGTAAGATGATGTTCGTGTACATTTTTGGTGTTAGTTTGTTAATTGGGAGTTTAGGGTTGAAAGTCAACGTTTTGACTATTGGAAGTAAAGACAAATTGACTGGAAAAATTGTACTAGTTGTTCTAGGAACCTAGATTTTCATTGAAGAACTAGGTGCAGCAGTGATCAAATTCCTTTCGGGAAGTGAGAGTAAATGCGAACGATAATGCAAGACAAGCGATCAATAAGAAAATTTTTATCTCTGTTTTATCACTGAACCAAACATTTTTTTCTGTGAAATCAGATTTCTCATCACCGACCTCACCTCATTGTTGGTAGGTTTAGGACTTCAGAACTAATTTTTTGCTGTACGTAACTGTCACAATTTTTTAAGTGCGACATTTATTCACTTTACACTATGACGTAAAAGCAAGACGCAAGGTCCACTCAGCCATTTTTTTGATTGGTGCTCCAGCTGTTGCTTCAATTGTTTAAAATTGCTGTAGGTGCGCGCTCAAAAAATAGGCTAAAATGCGAGTGTCATCACTTCCTTACAAAATAACGTGCTACCATTTGTTTGTGTTTCAATTCAACCTTTTAAATAAATACTAACATAATTTATTTGCATGTAATATTTTTCATCATAGAGTAACACAAATGAATGTTAAATTAACACCACTGTTTCCATCATGCTAATCGCATGTAATAAACCATAGTTGAAAAGTTTTCTTCATCTGAACACCCAAATTCTAAGTGATACGCACAGCCATAACATATTTATCTTTACCTTATGAACATCCAAGCGTGATTCATGTTATAATGAACACGTATAGTCATTCATATTATAACTAGCCGATATCATTTAACCTCATAAGCTTCCATCTAGAAATGATGTCGACCGCAACCATTAAGAACAGCACTCCTAGCGATTTGTATCCGGTAAACAGAGTTGCGGGAAAGCTTGCAACATGTTACTTAGATTGCCATTAGAAATTTCACGCATTCTACATTTACCTCTTAATCCATTAATAAGGCAGGAAATGAATCACAGGCTGTCTGGTCTGGTAGGTACTGTATTTAACCTAGGCTGTAAGGAACAGTTTTATCCTGCCACTATGTCAATAATAAAACCACACAGGGTAAAGTAATTGTATGCGCGCAATCCTGAAATCATTAACGAATTAATAGTAACATTATGACTAGCTTAAGTTTATTTGGGCCGCATCATGACGTTAGCCACACAGGTCGCGACGGAAAATTTTCAATTCTCTGAACTCAGAGATGTTAGGGATATTTCCCTGCAACCATGAGTGAGGTTGCAGTTAATTAACATGACTCTTTATTGACAAGCGAAGAACAATATTGCATAATGCTAAGCCTCCAAGATGTAACCAAATACTAGAAAGCAAGAGACCTGAAAAACTGATGTCCACTGCCGACATCACGAGGGCCAGTGGTTTGCTCCTCTGCTCCGACAGTACGAGGCGGAAAAATTCTCCGAGTTTGGTTTACGGAACCTGAGACGTACGTAACAAAAGCTTATACATAGTGAAATGGAGGTAATAGGAATCTAAATTTATTTTATTTGCTCAGTAAAATCAAAGTAATAAATAACTATACCGTAAATGAAATGGTACTCTAAACACTCGCTCCGACTGCCGCAGTCAACGTAATTTGTACCCACACAATAAATAAATTTATTTCATCTCCTTGAGCATTGAATTATCCGTTTGACATTAATTAAAAATTTGACTTATTTGAGCAACAAATTTCAAAAGACATTTGATTCTAATTTAATCTTCTGAAGCACTGAATTTTAAACAAGATTTTAGTTCTAAATTGATCATTCGTGGCATTTAGTTTCAACCAAGATTTTAATTCAAAATTGGATTCTATTATTGAGAATAATTCTAATTATAGAGAATTCTAATTCTAAATAATTCTATTAAACGAGAATCTAATTATTTTTACCTCACATTTCATGAACATGCAAGTAATTAGGTGCGGAAAAGCGCACCGCGGACATTTTTACATCGCATTTTCCAGTGACCTGTCAGCAGCGCTCTGTACATCTGGAACAATGGTTCAGCCTGACCTCCATGACAAACATGACGTTGTTGAACCGCGTGCAAAACAATGACCGAGACAATGACTTCACGTTCCGGATCTGAGAAATCTACCAGAAAAAGTTATATTAGTTTCTGATAAAAAAATTTGTTTATAGTTAACCTTAAACCATAGAGTAGATCCCAATGCACAGTCATGACACAACTTAAGCTCAACTCACGTAATATTTTTTTTACCTGGATAGTAATATCAAAAGATCGTTGAGTACGCGTACCGGCTAAAGTTCATATGGCGGCCTAAGTATGCATATATATATAGCAGACCAAATACACATAGCGGCCTAAGTATACATAGCAGACTAAATACACATAGCGGCCTAAGTACGCATAGCGGCCTAAGTATACATAGCAGACTAAATGCACATAGCGGCTTAAGTTCACATAGCGGCCTAAGTATACATAGCAGACTAAATGCACATAGCGGCTTAAGTTCATATAGCGGCCTAAGTATACATAACACACTAAATGCACATAGCGGCCTAAGTTCACATTTCGGCCTAAGTATACATAGCAGACTAAATACACGTAGCGGCCTAAGTTTACGCAGCAGCTCAAATACACATTGCGGCCTACGTTCACATATAGCGGCCTAAGTTGACATAGCAGCTTATATACACATAGCTGCCTAAGAATTTTTTCCGTAATTTTTTCCGATTCTTTTTTGTGCAGTATCCATGATACTGCACAAGATAAATTCTTGATTTCAAGAATTTATGTCACTTCTCTCAAATGCCTAAATTGTTGGATGAACTTGCATTGCGATCTAAAGTTAGATAGTTAATATTCCAAACGTAATTCATGTAAATTAAATATTCATTAATTAAACGCTTCTCAAATTGAATTCTGAAACAAGCAGCAAAAAGAATAAGATCGAGGAAATGAAATTAGATTTCATAATCAGAAACACAATCACAATCAGAACTTCTTCATAATTCCAATCAGAACCTCTTCATAATCTCAATCAGAACCTCTTCATAATTACAACCAGAACCTCTTCATAATCGCAATCAGAACCTCTTCATAATCTCAATCAGAACCTCTTCATAATCCCAATCAGAACCTCTTCATAATCACAATCAGAACCTCTTCATAATCACAATCAGAACTTCTTCATAATCACAATCACTCTGTCTATCTTTACAATCAGAACTTTTTCATAATCACAATCAGAACTTCTTCATAATCACAATCAGAACTTCTTCATAATCACAATCACTCTGTCTATCTTTACAATCAGAACTTTTTCATAATCACAATCAGAACTTCTTCATAATCACAATCAGAACTTCTTAATAATCACAATCAGAACTTCTTCATAATCACAATCAAAACCTGTCCATCTTTACAATCAGAACTATTTTCTAATCACAATCAGAACCTCCTCACCATTACAATCAGAAATTCACCAGCCCAGTCCAGAACATGCGAGGTCAGATGCATGCTGGCGGGGAGAAGCTCTCTCGCCCGCCGTAAATTTGATAGCTCGTCTTTACTGCCTGGTGTGCTGAGTGACGCGATTAATTGTTCGCGCCAGGTAGGAATAGCATTATGGTATATGACTGTTTGATAGTGTCATGCGTCTGGTAGGAATAGCATTCGGGTATATGACTGTTTAATTGATTGTGTCATGCGTCTGATAGGAATATCATTAGGGTATATGACTGTTTGATAGTGTCATGCGTCTGGTAGGAATAGCATTAGGGTAAATGATTAAAATCATTTGTTTGCTTAAATCGCAAGTTAAGCAGGAATTTAAAAGCAAAGACAATACTACAAAAACTCACCATATCTTTATAAGAGAAAACGTTTCGGAGTCCAGCTCCATCGTCAGTTCATAACACAAAATTCTGTTCAGAACAGAATTTTTCTGAACAGAATTTTGTGTTATGAGCCGACGATGGAGCTGGACTCTGAAACGTTTCTCTTATAAAAATAATATGCGTTTAAAAATTACTTTTTAAAGACAACACTTCTGAATAATACAGTGTCTTGGATGTTATACATGTACAATGCATTTCTAATTTTATTTTCAAATATTGAAAAAAAAAATTATTTTTCAAAATTTTTTAAGATATCAAAATTTTGTAAATTTTCAAAATTATTTATTCTGTCAATTGATTCATGCATTGTCTCTGACTTTATGCAATTGTGCAAAATTTCAGATCAATTGGACAGGTCAAATTGTGTCAAATATGGACTATAAGATTTGTAGCAGACAAAATTATTTTTTTAATAATGAAAACTTTTTTTTATTTATAAAATTATTTATTCTGTCAATTTATTCATGCATTGTCTCCAACTTTACGCAAGTGTGCCAAATTTCAGATCGATTGGACAGGTAGAAGTGTGTTAAATATCGACTATAAGATTTGTAGCAGACAGACAGACAGATAAACAAACAAGAAGTGAAGTTAAAGAGAAGTGTTGTAATATGGTGAATTTTTAGTGTAAATGACTGAGTCCCTTGTCTGATGAGAAAGACAAGGGCCCGCTTATTGCACCAAAGATTAATTCTGACCAGCTCTTATGCTGAGCAGTCAATCAATACTGCAACTTCAATTACCCAAGCTGAAAAATAATTGAGATAGTTGAGTTTAGAATGCATGTAAGCTCGTGAAGATATCTTCTTTGATGAACGAAAAATAATTTTTATGAAAAATTATTTTTTTATAATTTTAGGCAAAGTTTAATATGAAATAGCTCCAGAGCATTTTTTAGTGTCTAATTTGTCCAACCAAAAATACTATTTAATAATGGAAGCCTTTTAAGTTAAAAAATTAGCTGTATAATATTACTCAAGGTCTATCTATCAGTTTGCTGAACTTTTGGAGAATTTTCAATTTATTAATTTACGTATTTATTTTATTTTCATCCTGTGGCATGAAGATTTTGCTTTTGATGCAGTTAACGGGGTTGTGAAATTTAAAAACAATCTTCTTTTACACGAACATAACAATAAAATTGTAAATTGTGAGACTACTAAGCGCGAAGTTTCAACTTAAAAGCTATAATATCTGGCCAAAAATAAATGCTGGACTACTTTTAACGTGAAAAAATAGGACGAGCGATAATACCGTTGATATTGGCAGTGATCTTTTCAAGATAATCAGTCTAAGAAACTAGTATCACTCCGTTGTTGCTTTGGACTTGAAATAAGTGAAATGCTGAATCGAAATGTAGACGCTCAAAATTTTTTCGCATCTGCCACGGATGTTGCCTCCCTAACAAAATTGGGGAACGCCTAGGTTTCGGCCGAATAGTCACTACACTCGGCGCAAAGTAATTCTGAGTCTGCTTGGCCACACGATCGAAATCAGCTTCTGGTCAGAATCTCATTTCCGACTTTATAGTCGCCTGAGGGTATGACAAGAGTCGGCCGAGCCGAGTCGTACCGAGCTAGCAAGCTGCCCAGAGGCTGCCTTTCGAACCCTGAGCCGAAGCGGACATATAATTCAGGAAAATGTTAACAACAGAATACTGTGTGCTACGATCAATGTTGAACATTTGAGAATTCAACGCTGAATATCTCAGAATTCAATGCTGAATATCTCAGAATTCAATGCTGAATATCTCAGAATTCAATGTTAAATATTTCAGAATTCAATGCTGATATCTCAGAATTCAATGCTGAATAACCCAGAATTCAATTCTGAATATCTCAGAATTCAATGTTAAATATCCCTGAATTCAATGATGAATATCTCAGAATTCAATGCTGAATATCCTAGAATTCAATATTGAATATCCCAGAATTCAATGCTGAATATCTCAGAATTCAATGCTGAATATCACAGAATTCAATGTTGAATATCCCAGAATTCAATGCTGAATATCTCAGAATTCAATGCTGAATATCCCAGAATTCAATGCTGAATATCCCAGAATTCAATATTGAATATCCCAGAATTCAATGCTGAATATCCCAGAATTCAATGCTGAATATCCCAGAATTCAATATTGAATATCACAGAATTCAATGTTGAATATCCCAGAATTCAATGCTGAATATCTCAGAATTCAATGCTCAATATCACAGAATTCAATGTTGAATATCCCAGAATTCAATGCTGAATATCTCAGAATTCAGCGCTGAATATCCCAGAATTCAATGCTCAATATCCCAGAATTCAATGCTCCATATCCCAGAATTCAATGCTGAATATCTCCGAATTCAATGCTGAATATCCCAGAATTCAATGCAGAATATCCCAGAATTCAATGCAGAATATCCCAGAATTCAATGCTGAATATCCCAGAATTCAATGTCGAATTCCTCGGAATTCAACGCCTAATATTCATGGAATTAAATACTGAATATCTCATCATCTCAGACTTTAACGAAGTGAAGTATAACCAAAATTCAGTGGAACTCGTGCGCTAGTAAATTGGTAGGAAGATATGCTCAAATTAGCATCTTGATGCTTCTCTCCTGCTTATGAATGGCAGCGAATATATAGGCTAATTAGCATTATGAGACTCTTCTTTTGCTGTTGTATGACATCAAGTTATTTATAGAGTAGCGACAAACACGTGGTTGCAGCGTGACGGAAATTTCCCGAGGCAATAAATATAATTAAACAACTCCTGTATATACACTTCCTACAGGCGAAAATTTGTTCAAATATTCGCATTAAAGTAAGAATTTGTTGTACTTTGAATTTCTGCTCGTTGCACACGCCAAACTGAATTATTTCTATCAATAGTTATTTGTTCGATTTTGTTTAGTTTTAATTCAGTGCTGTTCATTTGACGTTTACAGATTTTTTGGAATGTAACGAAGTATTCACAAGCGTGATAATACGTGATAATTGCTCACCCCCTTTCTTTTTCCCCATTTTAACAATGATAATGAACTTCTTGCCTTTCGAAAACGATGGTTTGATTTTTACCCCAAAGGCATTTACAAACTACTTTTCAGTGGCGACCTCTAGACGTTATACGAGGCCTAAATATTTCCCAGCGTCTTCGCTACTAACTATTGACTTCATTAGTTGGCTATTGACCTCATTTGTTAACTATTGACCTCATTAGTTAGACTGTTGACCTCATTAGTTAGACTGTTGACCTCACTAATTAGACTATTGACCTCTAGTTAATGTTTCTGCGATTAATTGGCACTTAAAATTAGCATTCAGTAGCAATAAATAAACTGACTTTGATATTATTGCTATGGCCTTCAGCTGATCCTTAACTAATCACTAGTGATTAGTTAAGAAGAATTAGTGATTAGTTAATTCCCACAGAATCTCGAAGATTAGGTACTTTAATTTTTTTATGGACCACAGCTAGGCGCTGCCTCATAATATCATTCCATTGTAATTAAAATCGAGCTAACTTTTAGAAAATAAATTAAAGATAACAAGTTGTTCATTTGATAAGTTTTTGCAGTTCAATTTTATACTCGCAACTCATTTTGTAAATTGAACGAATGCACGTCATTTTCGACGCGATGTCTTCGGCGCTCAATTTTCGATAACAGAAACAGGCTACAGTGCAGCAGATGCATTCAAAACTCGGAAATAATTCTTGGATGTTTACACTCCGATCTTTGGTTTTATGCAATGAATAGGTTCGAATATTTGATGCTTTATTAAAATCGCATTAACCCAAGTTTTCGTAAGTATTGTAAAGGATTATATTATTATAATAAGAATATTTCAATTAAATTCTAATAGTAATAAGAATTGTCCAATTCTTTCACTCAAATGGTATGACTGCGAAGATGCCTCTGAGTACGTGTTAATTTATATACAGCAATTATTACTACATATTTATGAAGAATTTTTATTAAAAATAGTGAATTAATAATCAGTCTTAATTTCGATTAATTAAATAATTTTAACCATTCCTCTAATTAGTTTTATGAAGCATATATCTCAAGAAAGCAAATCTAGTAACGTATAAAAAAGAATCAGAATAAAAAAAGCAGGCGCCACGCCACAGGCAAGCAGTACGCGACCGAGATGGCGAGGGGAGGGGGTGGGGGCCCTGAGGTCTATAAAGGGGGGCGAGCATGGGGGCCACAGCGCATTCGTGAGGTGAACTACGTGGTGGCTGCGTCAGAATTTGGTTTGCTTCAGCAGGTGTTGCCGTGTGTAGCGTTGGGTCATTTTACGCTACTCCTTATACGTTACTAGGAAAAAGGTTTTCTGAACATTTGCATCCCAATGAATATTTTCCGATTATGCACTAAATTTGCCAGTCTCAGAAAACAATATTTATGGACTGAAAACTTTTGAATGAGCGAACTCAGCGAAGTGCAATTAAAAGATTGACTACAATTTTTTCTCAAAGTGAGCTTTAAAAAGTGCAACTCCGACATTGATTTAAACTCTTACAAGTAGTGTCACTACAGCAGGACATATTTGTTACCGAAAATAGATTAAATCTCTCAATTAGGATAAGTGATCATGGCCGAGAAAGGCGCCGAGCGGGAGCAATGGAGCAGCAAGTTTGAATTCATCTTATCCGTGATCGGCTTCTGTGTGGGACTGGGGAATGTGTGGCGGTTCCCGTATCTGTGCTACAAGAATGGCGGAGGTCAGTACTTCTGTCGCTGTATCTGTGCTACAAGAATGGCGGAGGTCAGTACTTCTGCCGCTGTATCTGTGCTACAAGAATGGTGGAGGTCAATACGTCTGTCGCTGTATCTGTATTTCAATTTTCAGGTATAAGTATGGAGGGAAATTTTATTGTTCCTCAAATTAATAAATAATATATTGATTGCTATTAATTTATTATTAATAATTGACCATTCATTGATAGTTTGAAGAGACATTGTATTGTCCTGAAAACTTGATCGATTATTTATTGATTATATATTCATTCATTGACGACTTTAGGGTGACATTTTTATTTTATTACATTGAGACATTTGAGACCAATACCAAGTATAGAAGAGATTGGTTTGAATGAAGTTTATTTGTAGTCATTTATTTATCGTGCTTTATTAATTAATATTTTGCTTATCAGTGCTTGGCAAAATTTCGCGTCTCTATTTTACTCGAAGAAATGTACAAGTCGAGAAAATTATTAGATAAATTCACAAAAATGTAGATTAACAATCGCTAAATTTTTTACATTTTGAACGCCAAATAGCTCGCTTGGCAACAACTTATTAGGCATCAACGCAAGACAGCAAACAGCGTAAACGGAAATCCTTCACAAAAAATCAAGTTGATCTATTCATATTCTGGCAGCCTTTGTTAATAGATCCAATTTCGTTCATGACAAATATCAAATAATACGTGCAGTTAAAATTTCTGTCTGCAACTGAATTATAAAAAACTAAATAGGGTATCTAATAATCCACGCGAGAAACAACACCTGAGCGCTAAGTGCTTTGATAGCGGCGGGCAGCCAACTAAACGTCTACGAATTATCACAAGAAGGAGAGATGTCATTTCAAACGAATTTTCCAGGGCATGGATATAAAGTTTAACTGAAAATTAAAAAATAATCGCATGGTGAGCATGGTTGATGTTTTATCAAGAATGATCGCCGACGATGCTTGAATGAAAATTTTGTTATTTGCTCGTATCTAGAATAAAATGTAAGTGGTGTTTTGGAATAAAAATATGGATTGAGATATACTGTTAATCCAATACATATTATAATAAAAGAAAAACGCGATCATATTAATATCAGTTATTTCCGTGTGAAGAATCATTTCCATTTTTCGGTTTTAAAAGGGAACTACGACTTGCGTTTGTTGGCTAAATTCTTCCAATATACATTGTTCGGGACCGCCTTTAAATGCAATAATTTCATAGATAGTTAGGTTACGTGTTTTGTCATTTTGTTTTTGAGTTAACTATTACATCACCTCGTGCAGACGACCCGCCTGTTATTGTTATGTGATCCACCACGGAGCGAGGCTCCGAACCTAGGACATGATTAGGAATTAATAAGCAAAAGCCAGAAAGACGCGCGGTTTAAAGTTTTGTAATTTGTTTTCTTGTATTTATCGTTCGTTTATTATTATGGGTTTTCATTCCTTATTTTTATTCATCCTTTATAAACGATCACTGGTCAATTGTTTGGGGTCAAAGAAAACCTATTTATTGATTAGTCCCCAACATAATGATGCCGTGCCAGTTGTAATCGTACCTGGGTAAGTATTGTTCATCTAAAGTAACGTAACGTTCACAATACCGTGTTTTTCGGAGCCTCGTCTCTTGTGGTGGATATCCGAACGCGCCTGAAAGCTGATCACTGGACTCCGCGAATTTGTGTTGCTTGTTGCCCGCACGATCTACCGTTTTGAAATGGCAAGTGGTCGTGGCTGAAACTGTTCAGCGTCCTTTGGAGATGAAGAGTCTGTTTTGGTTCAAGAATATCTGCACTATTTTACTAGATTTTTCTTGAGACTTGTGATCAGAGAAAAGTCTTAGCCAAGAGGACTTCAAGACATATTACGTCAATTCAAGAACAGTTGGGCGCTATACTTTCAGAACGGCCGAGTAGCGCCGAAGAATAACTTTGCCCGCGTGAGGAAGAGGCGTGATTTCGAAACTCAGTGTGTGTCATCGAACGTAATAGAGTCCGGTAACTTCGTGCTGCATGATAATGTTCGCTTTCGTCCCCAACTGTCGGAAGCGCAGCCCGAGGCACAAGAACCTCGTGGGAAGAAGAGCGTTTACAGAGCTCCTCGAAACGGCCAGACGTCACCAAACGATTCAGCTGCATCGTCTGTCCCATCCTGGGAAAAGCGATTGTGAATTCTGTCACCGCGCCGGTCATGAGTCGTGAGTGTCGGGTTCTGTTAAAACAGTGTTTCATTTGTGGTTCAGGAACACACTTCATCCGTAAATGCCCTAATTACAGACTGCCTCGTGCTAAAGCGTGTCAATATAGACAGACGTTACAAATAGCCCGTTCAAGTGGATTATTTAGACCTGTAGATACTGTAGCTGTGAACTCGTGTTTGCCCTGCTCGAATGAAGATTTGATGGAAAATGTGCTTTTACCGAACAGTGTAGAGTTATCGTTATCCAATGCTTGTGCGAGTGACAGTGGATGCACTGCCGAGGCGAGTGAAGTGGATGACGGAGGCAATGAGCCGGACGCATGTGATTTCCTTGACGAAGCTTGTGGTGATGAACCCGTATCTAAACATATGCATGATGGTGATATTGTCGAGAAATTTCATGAATTAAGGGCCGAGTATCACCTCTACGTCACGTTACAAGACCACAACGCGGATTTTCCCGAAAGACCGAACCAATCCAGTTGCGAAAGAGGTGCACTCGACTGGAGTTTTGAGCAGGAGGTAGAAGAAATGGTTGATGAGAAAAGACTCGAAACCGTAGAGCATGAGGGTTCAAGAGCAATTGGCCAGAATGTTCCATGTGGGCAAGTAAATGTGTCAAACTCAATTTCTTTGCTGGTGGAGACTGAAAGTTTAACTAATAGTATGGATAGTCGCTCACGAGACAATTTCGTTCGATGGTTAGAGCAGGAGATGTCTGCGCAAGAAGACTTGTTGAGCCGAGCAGTGACTGTATCGGGGAGATTTAACTACAGATTTTTAGAAAATATGTCAGATTTACTTGAAATGAGTGGTGATGCAGGTGATACGATGGAGGAAATTATGAGGAAGAATTCGCTAAAGGCTGCGACTGATCATCTGAAGTATGTGCGGGAAAGTATTAGAGATTATAAAGAAGGCGCGTCGGAACCCTGGTGCAGAAAATATGAAGGTGAAATTTTTCAAGGAGCTTAAAGTTTATCGAAGCCGAAATTTCACATAACGTTAGACACTTGGTGCTAAATTTCTGGGTTTTAGAGGCTTCGTATTGTTCGCAGAATTTCCATACTTTGAATTTTTCAGATGCGCTATTTCGTGTGTATATCCTAAGGTTTCATATTGATCGCGTCGTTGTAAATTAAATGTAAATAAGAATCTTGTAAGAATTTTAAACCAATTAGCGTATATATTTATATGTAATAAAGCTGTAAAGAAAATAAATCTTGATCTGTTTCGTGTTAGATTAGCCTGATTCATGCTTCAATCTTGATCGCCCGTACATGTTCAAATACTATAGGATTGTTAAGTGCAATAATAGAATTTTTGAACTTGGTGGTGGGTGATGTTAGGGACCGCCTTTAAAAATCACAATTTCATTGATAGTTAGGTTACATGTTTTGTCATTTTATTTTTGAGTTTTTGTCATTGTGTTTTGAGTTCAACTATTACATCACCTCGTGTAGACCCGCCCTGTATCTTGTCATTGTTATTTGATCCGCCACGGAGCGAGGCTCCGAACCCAGGACATGATTAGGAATTAAGAGGCAATGGCTAGAAAGACACACGGTTTATACTTTTGATATTTGTTTTCTTGTATTTATCGTTCATTTATCATTATAGTTCTTAATTCATCAGTTTTTATTAATCCTTTTTTTGCGATCATTGGCCAAGTGTTCGGGGTCAAAGAAAGCCTATTTATTGATTAGTCCCCAACAACATAAACACCCTTAATTCCCAACAACTTTTGTTTGTTTTTGTAATGTTCACCGTAACAAGTTAGTCTTAGTCTCGACATCATGTGTGATAAGAATCTTAAGATAAGGCCTCTCATCTTCTGCTTGTTATACATGTATTGATTCGGTAGAATGCCCGGTAGGCAATTTGCGGCTGATATAACGACCATCAATAGCAGAACATTGCCGGGAACAACAATTTTATTTGATAATACTCACACGCCAGAGCCACCCGAATTATGCATTCTATAAAATAAAAAATTAAAGTAAAATAAAAATTCATGCGTACACCGTACGCAATTTGAATATCACTGATAAAAGAAACGAATGACATCACATCCTTTCTCGCCGACGCAACTTCGATCGAATTGTTTCTCAGAAATCAGAGCGCAGATTCTTGTGCCAGAATGTACTGCAGAGTCCGTTGGTCTATCACGAGTGCTACGTTTAACCTTAGCCTCATTGTACATGGTCACAAGTGCGTAGATCAGTGAAATGTTTACCCAGAGTTTTTTAGTACATAATTTAACGTAGTGTTACTGCCGACTGGGTGAGGATGTCTTTAATGGTGATAACAACGAAGAGATGAACCATGCATTGTGAGCGGTGAATGACGATGAAGTTCGTGCAAATTATTTCTTCGATTTTGTAACATTTGCTATATTTTTTTGGCGCTTCATTATTTTAAAATAACAAAGTAGATACATTTTGCCATTCAAATTAGTTTACTTTTCAGCTGATACCAAAATGAGGAAGTGTTGTTGGTGCAAGGTTAATACCCTCGGTGATGCTAGGAAGGTTTGGCTAGCATACTTTTCTTATTTATTTTGTGCGAGGTCGGAAGAATTCAGGATAGTGTGCCAGGTGCTTGCTTCATTATCCATTCAACACGAGACTCGCGAATCAACGCAAGATCGAACCAACGATAGTTAGAAATGCTATGAGTGACGTCATGAACTGCAGGTCGCACAATAAACGCGTAGTTTGGGATGCAAGTTAGTGGCTAGGTTTGCTCAATTTCACTACCAATATTGTATTCCTTCCCATGTGCAAGCAGG